GTTCACTTTAGGGGACGTGGTAAGTTCCATTTTCATATGGGGTGGATAGTTGTCAGGAGGAGACTTGGACAAACCTGAGGGTCTTTTACTAACCAAGAAGTGTCTGGGTCAGATTTGCATGGCTTCAAAACATTTCTTGTTACCCAAAGAAACTTATACATGAACTTATAAATTACTTAGTTTAAGGCACTGGTAATATAAGGGAACATAAGTCTATTTATCCGTGGAGCTGATAGAGCATAAAATCTGTATTGGAAAGGTTTCACTCTGTGTGGGAGTTCAGCTCTGATCCAGTCCTCCTTTGATCTGAAAATTTAGACCTTGACTATACAGGAAAGTTTTTATATAACTTCATTTTTTCAGTATAAACTGCCTTGTGTCCACACACACACACTTTTTTTTTTCCTTATGTCTTAACCTGTGTTAAGTAATCTGCTTAGGAAGTAACATAACTCTATCCCAGAATGAGGTATTACAGGTATAACATTTGTGTGAATGCAACCCTGTTTTGGATTAATTATACTGCTTCTAGCAGTCTTCCAGTTGCTGTCCCACACTACATTGTTTCATACCTGGATTGGTCTGTTTGTTTACCTGTGGACCCTCTACAGCTCTCGGGTCATCTTGACTGGATGTCACCTTTTTCTATTTAAATATTGGCATGCAGCCAGGTGTGCCCCTTTGTAATTTCAGCTCGTGGCATGTTAACACACTGAGTCACATACCCATTATAGCAGCCATGCTTCTGGTTGATCCTATCAGGAGGCCCTGGACTTTCTTGACTTTTGGGGAGAGGAGCACATCCAAGCCCATCTGAGCAGCAATCACCAGAATGTCAAGATCTACTAGAGGCTGCCATAACAAATGCAGGAAAAAGCAGTACTATTGGGACGCAGCCCAGTGCTGTGTCAAAGCAAAGAAGCCTCCGACAAAGCGACAAGAATGCAATGGACTAAAACAGGACCGCGTGTAATGCTCCCAATAGTTGCCTGTACTAAGAGGAGCTGGACTGGATTTTTTTCAAAGGAGAACACCCCTGGGGTTTTGGACAGTTTGGAGTTGATCACTGAAGGCATCCAAGCAACCAGAAGGAGATTCTCCCAGACAGCCAAGGTCTCTTTGGCACACCCAACCCTGAGCCAGAGGCCCAGGAACCAAAGATGCCACCCGAATCTCAAATGGGGCCCCAGCCTGAAACTGCTGACGAATGGAGCTGTACCAGTAAGTATTATGTCATGTATTGAAATACAACTGTAGAGGGGGATTTAAACAACTTTGTTCCAAGTCCAGGCTGACCATCACCATGTTGGGAGGACATTCCCTGCCTGCTCAGCTCCCCTTCGTCTCTCTGTGTGCTCAAAATGGCATCTGTGCTGGAGATTTCAAGCTCAGAAGGGTTTATTTCCCTTAACTAACAACTCACACACCCACTAGTCAAATAGGTTGCCTCTCTAAATCCCTTTCCATGCTGTTTGATTCTCCCTATCCTTCATGGTGAACCATGCCCTCTTCCTCCATTCAAGATGGAAGCACTGTCGGGGATAAAACCTCAAATACAATAAACATGCCTCCCATACAATGTAAGAGCAGATATTGAAAGAGAAAAAGTAATAGAATAGTTACTTTGGCTCACAGTTTGATCAAGGCCTTGTGCTGCTAGCCACCTTTACATTGTATGAGGTAAATTGTCAAAATTAGGCTACAAGGGCATTTCAAAATGAGTAGTCATTTTTATTTTTCATTCAGCATTGTTAACCCTTTGGGTTCAAACCAATTACTGCATGAGTGTTTGTTTTGCAGTGCTCTTTGTGCTCATCTGCAGTTGTTATAAAACAGAATTGAAAGCAAAGACAATGCACTATTTGGTATATACGTTGCAAGACAATGCAGCGTTCTTGGGGCTGCTCATATTGGTGATGTGCTTCCCTTCAATTCTTGTACCAGCTATGGGGGCATCATTTTGGTAAACAAAAGTGCTGCATATCTTCCTGGTTTGCTCATTTTCTTTTTGAACATGATCCTTCTCTGCCTCTTGGGATCACACCTTTGGGTAACATCCTTCAGAGTAAGCATAGCCTCCAGAGGTGCACGTGTAATTACTAACCTCCCCCGTTTGCTCCCCCAGCCCACACACCGCCCCCACCATTGGTACAGGGGCCCTATACAAGGGAGAAGTAAGGTAGAAAACATCTTATCTCCAAGCTCACACCAGACTGGACAGAGCAGTTGGGAATATTGTTCTAAAATTGTGAAAAAGCAACAGTTTATCATTTTGTATTAGTTCAATAACTACTTGTTCTGTTTCTCTGTTCTTCTAGTGCCTGAAATGCTGTGGCCGTCACAGACGGGTCTTATCAGCTGCTGAATGCTTGGCATACCTCTGAAGGAAGTGAAAGAGGGCAAGGAAGGACAGGTTCAGTGACCTGATGACTGCATCCTATCAGAGGGCCATAAAAGCGGAAGAGGGAAGGGAAAATTTCCTGCAACAGTCTTAGAGGCTCTGAACAGACTGCATGGACAAGGACGTTCAGGAGGAGGGATGCTGGACCTAAAGGAGAGGCAAACAGCTCTGCTGGAGAACATTGTGTTGCTATATTCACAGCCACCACCCTAGCTTAGCCTGGCCCTGATCACTGAGGAGAACCCAGAATACAGGGGAGCCCCTTTTCACTTCTCCAAATGACAGGGCCTTCCCACACCATTCCGCCCCAGGACAGCGAACAGTTTCTATTCTTCTACCTTTGCTTTTTTGTGGGCCCTTAAGCACAAACTTGTGTGCACTCGGCACTCTAGTCATGTTCTGCCACAGTTCCATTGGTTTTAAGTTTGCAGTATAATAATGAATCAATAAAGGTTTTGAATATGTAAAACTCTGCTGAAAAATTTAATTGAGGTATTGCTTCTCCCTAATAATATCTTTACACAAACACCTTTCATTCATTTTCTTGGTTACAGTACACTACTTTTCCACAAGTACACCCTGGCCTGAAAGTTAGCCCAAAACACATCCCTTACCCTGTCTCCCTGACTGGTTGGAGCACCTTGTGGAAAGGCAGCCTTTTTGGCTGTTCATAATGTACAGAAGTCTCTCCACATCCTTCTCCCACCCACTGGTGAGGATCTCTTGCTTGCTCTCTCAGATGATGAGAAAAACAGAGCAAAATGCACTTATCCCAATAGGCAAACATTGTTCAGAAACATCCAGCCTTGCCATGAGGCACCTCTACCCTCCCTTCAGTCTTTCAAATGCACCTTCCACTGTCATTCAGCAGGTCCTCAGGTATAGTCAACAACTTCTGTCTCCTGTCTGATTATCCAGTGTAAGGCTTCGTAAGTCAGGGAACCAGAGAGTTAGCTGGGTCTCCCAGGATGACAGGAGGAATCACAGCACCATTAATGTCTGTAGACCTGGGAGAAAATTTTCCCTTTTTCAGTGCAGAAAACAGGGCAGAGGTTTTAAATAGCCTGGTATCATGGATCTTTCCTAACCATCCCACATTAATACAGTATCCGTAAACCTGGCACAAGGATCAACTAGGGCTTGCACCATGGAGAAATACCCCTTTCTGTTGACAAATTCTGAGGCCTGGTGTGGGGGGCAAAGAATGTGGGGCAGGGTGGTTAAAAAATGATGATTTAAAAAAATAAATACAGATTTTTGTATTAAAATTGGAATTTTTTTTTTTAAAAATAAACTGTTTAAAAATAAATCTGAAATTGTCAACCTATGTTAAGACCTAAGCTTATTATAATTTATTAAAAATATTTAAATAGTGTGTGAGCCCTCCTCAAATTTTAATGACTTGAAGGGTACAGTTATATACAGAATTAGGGAGGAAATCATCTTTAACTTTTGAAGTCAACTCATGCTTTATAAATACTTTACAATGTCATGTCTGTTATTTTCAATTTTTCAGTGGAGCAAGTGCTGGTATTTATATTTTTCCAAATGTGTAAATATTTTCAGTTTTTGTTGTGCAGGAAAGCTTTTGCCTTAGTTACTTTCGGATTCAATTTAGCAAGCAGATTCAGAAAGAATATTTTCTTCATTTGGACTAGTTAATTCAAGGTTCAGAAACAGGGAGTTTGAAAAAACTAGAAAGCTTGTTTTCCTCCTTAAATCTATGAATAAAAAACAGGTGAGAGGAGGGGATGGGATCTACTAATTGGGAAAACTTGAAGGACATAGGCAAGCTTTTCAGTTATTTAGGCACGTAAAGATGCAAATAGGTGCCTCGTGGTGATCTTCAAAAATGCCTACACCAGTAGGTAGGTGCCTAACTCCCATTTGACTTCAATCTGTCAATTCACTAACTACAGTTATGACTTCTTTTGTTTAATAAATCTGTTAGTTTTAAATGCAAAACATGTTTTGATAAACTTACTTTTTTTGCTTATGTATCCAGCACATTTAAGGAAGCTTTATTTAACTAGTAAAAAACAATTTTAAAATATTCTTTTTATACATTTTTAATTGAATTCTACTTTCCATCCAAATGCAGCTTGACACGGGTTTCCAAAAAAAAGAAAAGAAAATCTAATGTCATTAATCACTTTCTTGCATAATAAAAAAAGTAAAAATTAAGACTCTGAATAAATGTATTTCAAGCTATATAACTGCTTAAATAAATGTAGAGCTATAGTGTTGCACTAAATTTGATACTTTTTTGTTAGTGGCTATATTTGGTTGCAAATGAACGTATTTTAATGTTTAGTATGAACAGCCAATGAGAATGAACCTTTCTGTAGGAAAATAAGTAAGGTAAAATGCCAAACAAGATTAAGATCAATAATTTAAGTCCAGGTTTCCTGTTTGCTGATTTAAATCATGATTAAAATTTAGTGATTTAAATCCCTGTGATTGAAATCAGTCCACCCTGGCATGGGTCCTGTCAATGGCCCCAATATAACTTGGGGATCCCAACCGTGCCAATCCATTAATAAACTTCTATGCACTGGCAAGCCTTATGACCCTGGGGTAGCAGCACACGCTCAATAGCATGATGATAGTCCTGACAGTTGGGTCTAGCAACACCAAACTGGTAAGCTACTGCATCCTGAAGTTCTGCCACCATTGCTGGTCATCCCGCTTCTGCAGCACTGTCCTGTCCCACCAGTCAGTGCTAGTTGGCCACACCCAGAAATGGTATTTCAAGTGAAGCTGTTCCAGGAAAATGTCTTGCCAAAATAACAGCTCAATTTTTTCATCCTTCTCCTCGTCTAGCCGTCTCACTGTGTCTGTCTCCCAACCCATCCAAAGCCATTCAGTAGTTTGAATGATGAAACATTTGGTGGAGCAGTTTGTTTGTGTTAATGATTCTCAGGATCGCAGTATTCAGTAGTGTTTCCTCTACTGCAGTTTGAAAATAGTGCTGGCTTGCAAAAAACAGTGGAAATTATGGGATGACAGGAGAGGAATCATGGGACTTTAGTTTGAGCCCATGTCCCAGAATTTCAGTAGGTTCCAGTGGACCTTCCACAGTGCAGCATGGAAAAAATCCCAGAATGTGTAGGGTCTTGCAGCAGAACATTGCAGCATGGGATATTTGCCCAGAATGCTGTGTGGTTATTTTTCAAAAACACAGAGCTGTGTGGGCACAGTGATTTCGAAGGGAAATAGTTTAAGTTGGCATAAACAAAGTGGTGTGGACACATTCTGTCACTATAGTTATACTGGTATAATTGTAGTGGAAAAACTTATATTAAAAAAAAAATTCCAGTGCCAACAAGCCCTTAGGGTAAACTGTGTAGTTCCTACGGGTTAGGTCTTTCTCTCTAGTTTGTGGAGAAGAGTGTATTGTGTCGTACAAGGTACATTCTCATCCGAATGTGCTGTTTATTCCCCTCTCAACTCTTTTGAGCACTCTGTGGCTATACCCCATGACTAGATACTATTTCCTTTTTAGCCACGGTTTGCTGAAGGAACAAGGATTGCTATAGAATAGATTTTCTTTCCTGGAATTTTTTGATGGTAGTTAAATTTTTTTAAAGTTTATGCCCATGTTTTTAACTTTAAAAATCACTTTCATTGCAGGATGAGCAGTTCCTAGGTTTTGGCTCAGATGAAGAAGTCAAAGTACAAAGTCCCACCAAATCTCCCACAGGTATGTTTAGCTCATAGGATTGGAAGTTGAGTTACATGTTGTCACTTTGCATGGTTTAGTCATGCCTCTCCCTGTTCCTATTGCAATAGCTTATTTTAACGAGAGCTTGCTGGAAAACAATTGTAGGTCTTTGTCCTACTCTGAGTGGACCACTTAGAGAACTGCTGTTCCTGAGAGTCTGTGCTTCACCCGTATCTAGCCCAGGCTGTCCTACTTTAGGATCTGCTCTTTGGCAGGGTCCAGCACTCACAATATAAAGTTCTTCTTAGAGTTTCGTCATCATATAACAGGAGATATGTCAAGTATTTTTGAATAGAAATAAGGCTGACCTCCTGATCTTTTGATGTGGATTTGGAGTCCTTCACTTGCTCTTCACTCTCCAGTGAGTGTAATTAAAGTGAGAGGAGCCTTTTAACCCACTGGTCTTTTTTTATTAATGAGAGGAGGTGGTGAGCAATGACAAAGCAAGCAAAAATGGAAACAGACGAACTAAAATTAGACCTGCTTAATCTTCCTATTTGTTACAACGTTGTATCTTTCACTTCTGAAATATAAGGGTTGGAGTCTTATTGAAGGTATTACATTACATTTGGCAGTCTTTATTAAATTTACTTTCACAAAAAACTATGAATTAAAGTGAACTTGGATAGCTTTCTCTGTTGATCTTTTTATTATATGGAGATATACCTATCTCATAGAACTGGAAGGGACCTTGAAAGGTCATCGAGTCCAGTCCCCTCCCTTCACAGCAGGACCAAGTACCATCCTTGACAGATTTTTGCCCCAGATCCCTAAGTGGCCCCCTCAAGGATTGAACTCACAACCCTGGGTTTAGCAGGCCAATGCTCAAACCTGAAAAATCATAGACTCATAGGACTGGAAGGGAACTTGAGAGGTCATCTAGTCCAGTCCCCTGCACTCATGGCAGGACTAAGTATTATCTTAGAAAATGGCAACAATCTATTTATTCCCAGGAATACCAAGTGAGGATGGTGGGGAGCTCCCATTCTGCCTCAATTCCAGTTCTACATGCTGGGTATGTGGCAGTGGGTGGAAGTGTGGGGGAAGGAGATAAAGAGATCCTGTGAAATTTATGCAGATGTCTAATACACTAGCACTCAACCTATTCCAGCTGATTGTACATCATATTATCTGTCTGGCATTAGTTTTATTGTGGAAAATCTCAACAGCCAGTTGATCCCGGTACTAATGATGGTACTAACCTAATATTGTGGAAACCCCTCTGCAAACTATTGCTACTCAGTTGTATGTAGCAGCAGTGGCCCTAAAAAAAAAAAAGTTGTAACCTTTTTTCCTCCCCTCTCATTACATTACATTTTTTTTGAGAGAGAGAGAATGGCCCTGAAATCATACGATTGAGCACGTACGCAGTGCTCTTTAAACTCTAGTAGTAGCGTCATCAAGATGTAATTTAAAGAAGTCTACAATTGCTTTTTCCAAGTACCAGCCTGGCATACGCAGGTTTCCCTTTATTTTTAAAAAACCTTAAGGACTTTGAGGGAGTGAGCTTCCTCTTCCATTAGGAGGATGTTTTGAAGAATTTTTGAATTGTAGTTTAACAGGAGATGACACTTGGAACCAGAGAAGCCATGAAAATTGGTCAGGTTCAAGTCCACTATGAAGATGACAAATCCTGTGCGTGTTCTTTGGCTGGGAGTCCCTTTCTGATGGAATGAAGTAATGGATTCTCTGTAGTTCCTTGTACTCCCCATTTCCATGCTACTTTGATACTATGACATGCTTTCTTTTGGAGACCTAGAGACAATTCCATCTTACCTAAAAGTTGTATGTGTTTGTGGAACAACAAAATAAAACCTACATCCAGTCTTTTGATTCAAATCGGCAACTGTTTAGAACTGACTCTATCATGGTCTGTCTGTCTGATCTATCATGGAGCAGGGAAGTTTTGTGGGAAAGAGGGAGTGAAACTGATATTAAAAGGTTAGACTAACATTTGAAGGGAGACTAACAAATGAAATGTGAGTAAATTTATGCCTTAACTGAAGGTGTGGTGAGGTGTCTTTTGCTAATGATGGTCTAGTTTCATGTGTGTGTCCAACCCTATGGTAGGCTTAAGTAGCCAAAGGGAGACATGGGTGAACATAACTTGCCAATGAAGATATGATGCATTTCTCTGAAATACTGACACAAAAGTAAGTCTTAATAAGGGTAACCCTTCTGACATGCAATCAACACTGCCTAATCTGGGTTTTTTAACTCCATTTTGTTTAGTGTCTCTGATCTGATTTAGTGAGCCAATGGTACATCCTTGATATGAAACTATTCAACATTTGAATTTGTGATGGAGGGCTTGTGAAGAAAGGTGCAATAGCTTATTATACTTCCTTTCAGCTCTGGAGCCCTACGTTCAGATTTTGATTTGGTTGCAAGTGAATGAGTTTGATCGTCTTAACCTAGACTTGATTGGATAAATGTCCCCATTACAATATTCTACACAGTTTGGCCCAGACAACAATGTCCGCTAAGGAGAGACTTTGTACTGCAATCATGTGAATGTCTCCAGTAGTCGCTGACGTGCATTGGCAGAGCTGTGTGGGGACCCAGTGTGGACTATAGGTTGAGATTAAGGTGCATTGGCAGAAGTGGATAATGAAATCTTGCACAACACATGCCTGACACCAGTTCCGAGTGTAGTCACAAGCACTAAATTTATTCCAAAATTAAAACAAAAAAAAATCTTGAAATAGTAAAATATCAGTTTTGATTCACGCTTTTCCCAAACGCTATTCTTGGCGTGGTGGCCTTTGTATTAGCAGTGGGGGTGGATGATAACCAAGAATTTTTTTTTTTTTAAATGAACTAGTTTTGAACTTTTTTCATTCTTTGTATATGATGTTTCAGGAACGTTAATCTTGGGAGTTACTGTTCACTTCAAAAAATTGTTTTTGGTATTTGTTTTTATAAATGTAAAAGTTCTTTTGGAGGAAAGATATTTGTACTTAAAGTATGTTTTGGAAAATAAGCTCTTTATTATAAGGGAAGTGTTTTGTTTGTCTGTGGCGGAACCCTTTTATGTACAGTTCTTATTAATAAGTTGTATTCATAGTGGGTTGGTGGATCAAAATTATGGTAGCTTGTTCTATGCATGTAAAGTGACTTGTGATGAATAAAGTCAAATGTGACCTGGATAGGTCACATACAGCATACAGAAAAGCCTAACATGTGCTCTGCATTCTCTGCTTCCCCCTCAGTGAAGTCTAGTCCACGAAAACCTCGTAGGAGACCCAGAAGCAGTCCTGATCAAAGTTCAGCTGCACACTCAGACTCTTCATCAGTGTGTTCCCCCCTGAGCAAGTCTGAAACCATGTCCATGGAAAAGGTAAAGAAGAAGGAAATTAAAAGTGGGGAAAAGAGACGAGGAAGACCTCCAACACTTAGTAGTGTGAAGTTCAAGTTATCACAAGTAAAGGACACATCAGATATTCATAAAGGGAGCAAAGAAGCGAAAGAGAATCTGAAGAAAATAAAAAGGGCACCGTCCACTACATTTCAGCATGCTGCAAAAATCAAGAAGTTACGAACTGGTAAACTCTCCCCACTGAAGTCTAAATTCAAGACTGGGGGGAAACTTCAGATTGGGAGGAAAGCGGTTCAGATTGTGCGCAGGAGAGGAAGGCCACCGTCTTCGGAACGTTTAAAGACTGCCTCACCACTAGTCATTAATTCACAGCTGGAGAAACCCCAGAGGGTACGTAAGGAGAAAGATGGCACACCACCACTTACAAAAGAAGAAAAGACTGCTGTCAGACAGAGCCCCCGCAGGATTAAGCCTGTTAGGATTATTCCTTCTACCAAGAGGACAGATGCAACAATTGCTAAGCAACTCTTGCAGAGGGCTAAAAAGGGGGCACAAAAGAAGATTGAGAAAGAAGCAGCTAAACTGCAGGGTAGAAAGGGAAGAACTCAGCTCAAAAACATCCGGCAGTTCATCATGCCAGTTGTGAGTGCTATCTCTTCGCGGATCATTAAAACACCCAAGCGATTCATTGAAGATGAAGACTATGATCCTCCTATTAAAATAGCTCGCCTAGAGTCCACACCAAACAGCAGGTTTAGTGCTACATCTTGTGGGTCCAGTGAAAAATCAAGTGCGGCTTCTCAGCACTCATCTCAGATGTCTTCAGATTCCTCACGATCTAGTAGTCCTAGTGTAGATACATCTACCGACTCTCAGGCATCCGAGGAGATGCAGGCACTTTCCGAAGAGCGCAGCAATACTCCAGAAGTTCATACCCCTTTACCTATTTCTCAGTCCCCTGAAAATGATAACGGTGATAGGAGAAGCAGGAGGTTTTCAATGTCAGAAAGGAGTTTCGGGCAAAGGGCAGCTAAAAAACTGTCAACCTTGCAAAGTGTGTCCCAGCAGCAGTCCTCTTCCTCTCCTCCTCCACCTCTGCTCACTCCTCCTCCACCCTTACAGCCTGCTACTGGCATCTCAGACCACACGCCGTGGCTTATGCCTCCAACAATACCGTTGGCTTCACCTTTTCTGCCCACCTCTGCTGCACCCATGCAAGAGAAACGGAAATCAATTCTACGAGAACCAACATTCAGGTGGACCTCTCTGAAGCATTCTAGGTCAGAACCACAGTACTTTTCCTCAGCAAAGTATGCCAAAGAAGGTCTCATCCGTAAACCAGTGTTTGATAACTTTAGACCCCCGCCACTGACGCCAGAGGATGTTGGTTTTGCATCTGGTTTTTCAACATCTGGTGCTACGGCTCCAGCTCGCTTGTTTTCTGCTCTTCATTCTGGAACAAGATTTGATATGCACAAAAGAAGTCCTCTGCTTCGAGCTCCAAGATTCACTCCAAGTGAGGCCCACTCCAGAATTTTTGAATCTGTAACCTTGCCTTCATCTGTTAGTCGAACCACTGCAGGAACTTCTGTGACAGGCATATCTTCTAGGAAACGAAAGAGAAGAGTGTTTAGCCCGATCCGATCAGAACCCAGATCTCCTTCGCACTCCATGAGGACAAGAAGTGGAAGACTTAGTACCTCTGACCTGACAACTCTCACCCCTCAATCTTCTGTCTCTTCCTCACTAACTAGCATGTCTGTTAGTTCTCTTGCCACTAGTGCCTTAAACTCAACTTTTACTTTTTCTTCCCCTCCCCTGACCCAGTCTGGGGAATCAGCAGAGAGAAGCCAGAGACCAAGGAAGCAGATCAGCACTCCAGCTGAGCCTTTCTCATCCACTAATCCTACTCCTCTGTTTCCCTGGTTCACACCAAGTCCCCAGACAGAGAGAGGGAGAAATAAAGACAGGGCTACTGAGGAACTGTCCAAAGATAAAGACGTTGACAAAAGTGTGGAAAAGGACAAGAGCAGAGAGAAAGACAGAGAGAGAGAAAAAGAGAACAAACGCGAATCAAGAAAAGAGAAAAGGAAAAAAGGGTTAGAAATTCAGAGTAGCTCTGCTTTATTTCCTGTAGGTAGAGTGTCCAAAGAAAAAGTTAATGAAGATGTTGCAGCAGCATCTTCAGCTAAAAAAGCTGCGGGGCGGAAGAAGTCTACAGCAATAGATCCTGTAGCAGATGCTTCTGCTGTGGCTCTTGTAGATATGACAGCTGGCAAAACCAAAATGCCTAAGAAAGGTAGAGGGGGCTTAGAAAAATCAGATCTAGATCTAAGCCCCACTGTTCCGCCCCTGGAGAAAGACAAAGCCCTACGCCTCTCGGCTCCTTCGTCAAGCACTGTTAAACATTCCACTTCCTCCATCAGCTCTATGTTGGCTCAAGCGGACAAACTTCCAATGACTGATAAGAGGGTGGCCAGTCTCCTAAAAAAGGCTAAAGCCCAGCTGTACAAGATTGAGAAGAGCAAATCCCTCAAACAAGCAGATCAGCCAAAAGCACAGGTATTCTTTCAGACTTATTCATGAGCGGGCTTTACGATGCATTTTGTTTTGTCCTTGGATTGAAAATTGTTAATGTCATTCAGATGCTGAAAGAGAACAAATAGCATTAATTTGAATAATTGTTAGAGCAACAGATGGTAACTAATTTGAAAACGAGAAGCACTGGGCAGAAGTTGAGGGGGAGATAAAGCTGCTGGAGTCAGTTCAGGATGGAGTTGCACACATTTTCTGAGAACAGTGCAGTGTAATTGCTTAGTAGATTTTTCTGGCGAAGTCTGGCGGAGATGTTCATCTAGTGTATGTTGAGCTTATAAAGGCAAGGCTATGGCAAATCATATAGTCATCTCTGGCCCCTTGATTTATGTTTCTGGTACCCCACTTGCTTACAAAGCTGACATCCAAAAATGACAGTGGTCCTGAGCTGATTTTTGTTTAAGGTGCGTATTGCCATGATCTCAGTCTCGTGGGATGGAAGTGAGATCCCATGGGATTTTGCGTCTAAAGGAATGGGACCTCACACATCCCTCCTTCTTGGCCCCAGTGTTCTGTCAAATGCTCTCACTGTAGTCCATCTTGGCTACTAAAAAAGTAGACATCATACAGACACATTTTCAGGTAATGGTTCCTATTTTTGGTTTAAACCAGAACTTGGCCTGCTGTCAGTGGTAACATTCAGGAATTGCGGAAAATAAATTTTTTTCAATAGAAAACCTCCAAAGTTTTTCTCCCTGCCATCAAGTTCTGAACCCTCCCACTTGTCTACTCTATACCACTCCATGCACTGTTGGCCTGTTTCACATTAGGGAAAAATGACTTGTCCCTAAAATTCGACTTTATGGGAGTATATTTGTTCATCAGAAATAGCCCTGAATCTTTGGGGGCAAATCCTGGGAGAAAAAATTAAATTACTCGATTTCTTTTAACAGCAGGGATTAGAGGCTGGTTGTGCTGTAATTTCTAGAACCTTATAAGGGGGAATACAGCCTTCTTTTCATATGTCCCACTGACTACAAGGCTTTCAAACAGCCTGATTCACTTCTCTGTCAGGGTAATTAGACTAGTAGGATGCTTTAGCCTCTTTTATCGTAATTATCCGTGCCAGCTCTGATGTTTTGGTACTGATGCATTTTACATGAGTATATAGTATTAAGGAATTCAGGTCCTTGAAGTAAGAGGTTAAAATTGGTTATGGAACTCTAGTAAACATAATAAGCGTTCTGCTTTACTGTTCTCTAAAGTACGTCTTCACTGGGAAGGAGGCTATGAAAACTATAGCTGACTCTCAAATTCTTATGTGACCTGCAGTATGAGCATTTGGTTTTAACCACTACCTTTTTCTTTAAGTGTGCTTGTTGTATTTTCCAAGTACACTCAGAATGCCTTCTTCAGAAATGCCTATGTTCTTGCACACCTGAAACTTAGGGTCAAGAGAGTGATTCATCAGAGACTTCGGTGCGAGGACCACGAATAAAACATGTCTGCAGGAGGGCGGCTGTAGCACTAGGCCGTAAGCGGGCAGTGTTTCCTGATGACATGCCTACTCTGAGTGCCTTACCATGGGAAGAACGAGAGAAGATATTGTCTTCCATGGGAAATGATGGTAAGTTCAAGATTTTCATCTTGGGGTCTGTGGATTCATACAAAATTTTGATGCTGTTGCCCATTAGTTTAGTTTCTTGTGGGGCAATACTTATATGGTTGAATATATGTTTCTATAGAATGGACAACATGCTGCATAAGATTATACAGGGGAAGGTCTGAGTTAAACAAATTTCAGATATTTTTAATAAACTTCCAGTCTAAAAGGTAATTCATTAATCCGTTGACCTCTGTTCATTTGATATTTCATGGCACAAAAGTTTTATAAGTTTTTTTTCTCATCTGAAATCTTAATCAAAAAACACTCAACTTGTATGACTCTGAGGATGACCTTACACTTTTGATGGGATGGATGATTTCTGAGTAAACTTGAAACTTCTGAAATGGTGCTGGTGGCCGCTGAATTCACAGCAGATTTTTTTGACAGATAAGTCATCAATAGCTGGCTCGGAAGAGGCTGAACCTCTTGCTCCACCTATCAAACCAATTAAGCCAGTTACCAGAAACAAGGCACCCCAAGAGCCTCCAGTGAAGAAAGGTCGGCGCTCAAGGCGCTGTGGGCAGTGCCCAGGCTGCCAGGTTCCAGAGGACTGTGGTGTCTGTACTAACTGTCTAGACAAACCGAAGTTTGGTGGGCGCAACATAAAGAAACAGTGCTGCAAGTAAGTGTATATTTGACAAGCTGTTTAGCTAACCCTTGTGTTGAGAGAGGAAGCCCTGGGATTATAGGTGGAGATTTTCTCATTCACTGCTTAGAAGCAGAGTTAACAGGCTTTGAAGGGAATCCCTTTTGTTCAGTCTTGGCTGGTGTTGCGTAGAGGTAGGTAAAGGACAAAAGAAAAGAAAATTTGCTGGAGTATTTTTGCTCTGAGTTGTAGACACCCCTTCTTCTCTACTGCTCCCCCTGCTTTACTGCACTCCCCCAAAAAACTTGAGAAGATTGTAAGGCATGTGATATAGCAAAATGCACTGATACTTTATAAGTAATTTAATAATTGCAGGCAAGATTGAAATTTATTTTCTCAGATAATATGTAAAGAAGTGGATTTCTTGCAGCATATGATATTTATCCAGTGTGTATTTAACATGCAGTGAAGGAAACTCTGGACATTGGCTGAAAATATCACTTTTGTTTCTTGATCCTTTTTATCAGTTCATCTAAACATTTTTGTGTACAAACATCCCTGGATTTGGAACTTACCTTCCTCCTTTCTACAGTAACTGCATTAGACTGGTTTTACCAGCCTGGATAATCTGTTTGAGAAGGCAGCAAGTGAAGTGGCATAAATAAAGATTGTTGTGATATGAAGGCTATTTATAAAGTATAGCTGTGAGAATTGCTGCATAGCATGCATCTGTGTGAAAACAGTTTGCAGAGTACAATCTGTAAGTAGTCTGTCTCTAAGCAGCTTTGCCCTGGCCTTGGACAAGGTTTCAAAACCCGGGGTCCTGCTGCAAGAGCTAAAGGAGAAACAAACGCTAATTCAGTAGACAACAGATATTGTATTCTTAATTTTACATGAAATCTAGGAATTTAAGTTATGGCAAAATAACAACTTGATGACCTTGTCTCATCCCACTCTGTATAAATGAAGGGGCTGTTCCCATGTGGGAAGGATTCCTTTCTTATGAACCAAGTCCAAATTAAGTCACCAAATGGTTGGCCCTGCCCTAATTAGCCTTAATCAAAATACAGAGAACTTGCAGTTGATGGATTTGACATTGTTTTCCAGATCTTCTATGCCTCTCAAATCCTAGTATATGAGAAAGGGAACTGATAGAGATATCACCATGATGCTGACAGAGCCACTCCGTTTCTTGTGGCACTATTCACATACCTTTGCATTGGATGATTGTAGTAATTATGAGCCAAAAGGAAACTCTAGGATTCCTCAGCTTTAACACTTTTGAAGAAAAAATGAATGGTTCAAAAATGGTAATGGGAATATTGACTGGTGTGAAAAGGCTTTTTCAGCAGCAAACCCTGCTGAAGGGTGCTGCTGTCGTATATCAGTTTCTGATTGTTCCAACTTATCCCTTTCATCTCAGGATGAGGAAATGCCAGAATCTGCAATGGATGCCTTCAAAAGCTTATCTCCAGAAGCAAGCTAAAGGTATGCAGTGTGTATAATGGACCATCTCTTTGAGAAGTGGGTACTAAATTCATATCTGAAGCTTTTGTGGCTGCATTGAGCAGTACAGCCAAAGACATAAGATGCGTCTCGGACAAAATATTGCAGGGAGCATGATCCTGTAGCCCATACCAGAGCTTCAGGGGAGGGTACAGAACAGGGCAATTATGGAGTGATCCATTCCTGTCTTCTGTCAGTCAGAGGTTTAGGGTCACCCTGAATGTGGATTTGCGTCCATGACCATCTTCGCTAATAGCCATTGATGGACCTACCCTACGTGAACTTTATCTAGTTCTTTTTTTAATCTAGTCATGCTTTTGGCCATCACAACATCCCATGACAATAAGCTATGTGAAAAAGTACTTCCTCTTCTTTGTATTAAACCTGCTGCCTATTAATTTCTTCAGGTGACCTCTGTTTTTTGTATTGTAGGAAAGGGTGTAAATAACACCTCTCTATTCATTCTTTTTGTTCCATTAATAATTTTAGAGACCTCCATCCTTTTGGTCATCTCTCTTCCAAGCTGAACTGCTCTAATCATTTTAGTCTCTCCTCATATGGAAGCTGTTACATACCCGTGATCATCTTTGTTGCTCTTCTCTGAACCTTTCCCAGTTCCACTGTGTTTTTTTTTGAGATCAGGTGACCAGAACTGGACACTGTTTGAAATGTGGGCATGCCATGGATTTATATAGTGTCATTATAATATTTTTCTCTTATTTTCTATCCCTGTCCTAATAATTCCTAACATAGCGTTAGCCTTTTTGATTGCTGCTGCACATTGAGCTGTTTTTGAAAGAACTATCCACAATGACTCCAAGATCTGTCGTGGCTTGTAACAGCTAATTTAGAACTCATCATTGTATATGTATATTTGGGATTATTTTTTCCAATGTGCATTACTTTGCATTTATCAGTGTTGAATTTCATTTGCCAATTTGTTACCCAGTTTTGTGAGATCCCTCTGTAATTCCTCACAATCAACTTTGGACTTGACAATCTTGAATAATTTTTTATCGCCTGCAAATTTTGTCAAATCACCATTCACCCCTTTTTCCAGACCATTAATGAATATGTTGAACATGACAGGTCCCAGTACAAATCCTTCAGGGACCCTGCTGTTCACTTCTCTCCATTGTGAAAACTGATCATTTACTTCCTATCTTTTGTTTCATAGTTGTGAAAAAGAAAGAGAAGAAATCCAAGACCAATGAAAAGAAAGAGAGCCATTCTGGGAAGAACCAAGTGGATTCTGGACAGAAACCAGCTCCTCAGACTGTTTTAGCAAAAGAAGATAATGCCTTGAAGAAGAGCAGTGAACCTGCCCGAAAGCAAAGTGAGGAGAAACATGAAGAGGGAAATACCTCTGTCCCAGTGTTGGAGTCCAAACAGGTCACTGCTTCTGGTGCCAGAAAAACTGGCAAACAAGCACCGCAGCCATTGCAAGTTCCCCTTTGTCAGCCGCCTGGCTCAGGACCACTGAAAAAAGAAGTATCTAAAACCATACCTAGCGAGACCAAGAAAAAACAGACCCCCCAACCAGAATTAGGTAAATGAACAAATGTAATGAAAATAATCAGTCACTTGTTCAAAAACAAACTAAAAACTAGATTATTATGTAAGAACTGAGAGTATTGTATATTGACTATTAAACATCATTGAACAGTATAAAACTGGAAAATTATTTTCTATACTGGCGGTATCACTCTAAAATGTTTTGGGAGATGTTTGTTATTTAAATTGGATTTCTTTACATTAAACTTAATGTGTGTGTGTGTGTGTGTGGGAAGGGATAAGGATGTCTTATCTGTATGTTTGAGTTTTCCATTCAAACCCTGGTGAACTTAAAACAGAGATTTATACTGTTTAGTTAAACTTTTGTTATTATCCATAGTGGCACATCACAGTAGAGTGAAAGTGCTAAACAAAGACGAGAATCCCTACCTGAAAATGTGTAGTCTAACAGATATGGACTCTTACTATATGGGCAGTTTTGGGGCAGTCTGTCAGTGTTGCATGCGTTATGCTCTGGGGAATCAGGTGGGTTTTCAGGAGTGTTTTGTGGGGAGTGCATGTTTGCTGTGTTGTTTAGGAGGCTGCATAAAGCATCAATGGTGGTGTTTAGTCACTAAAAGAGATAAGGGAGCAGTTGGGAGTAAAGATTGGGCAGATCAGGGAGCAAGGCCTAAAATATCTTTTCCTCAAGTGCATTATTTCTCTTCTGTTTCCTGGAAGTGTTTATTCATTCCAAGATCTAAACATGTGATTTTTCTTTCCTTCCCTAGGCATAGAGCAAAGCAAACAGAAGAAAGTTACTCCCCGTCCAAGTTTCCCTGTGAAACAGAAACCAAAAGAAAAGGTGAGGTGGTGGTTGTTGTTTTTTTACTACATATTCAGCAAATTACAAGAATTTCAAAATTAGTTTCTATTGTCAAATACAGGTGTGCAACCCTAACTTACCTCGTTTTGGGCTTTTCATGATTAGGTAAAGTTATTACTGTGACCAGCATTTTTAGAATTAAACCCAATCAGAATTAAATTCAGTTTCTTGCCCCTGGAATGTCAATCTAAAATAGACTTCAGTTTGATTTCTATCATGTTTCCAGATCCTTTAAACACTTTTAAAGGAAGAAGTTTCCATTACTTGTCCCAAGGGCAGAGTTTGCAGTTTCTTACCCCTCCAGACAAGCCTTACAGATGTAAAAGGCTCCTCCTACCTCCATTGTACCAAGTTCCCAAATGACACAACATGCATTTAAGACATAATTGATGCATGTCAACTTGTTTTACTAAGAAATCTAAGTAACTGCAAAAATGAGTTCCATTTTAACTAACAAAATATGAACAATTTTAATTTTTAAAAACAAGTGTGATGTTTTCTTTGAAAAACAAACGAAACTGCCCATTTTTTAATTCCATTTAAAAAAAATGGAAAATTTGTATAGACATTGATTACCCACAGAGTTGCTGCAACATAGTAAGTTAAATACCAGCATTGTCTTGGATGACAGAATGTTGTGATTTTAGAATGCAATACAACAAGCATAAATCTGTGCATGAAGTGCTCTAAAAAGGGTTTGCAAAACTGATCTTCTGCTTCCACTTTCTGTAAGAACCTTAGTTCTGAGATGCACTCAGCTTCTTTGTATAAGAATTATCAAAGATTTATTTACTCTGGTCAATCCTTTAGTAAAATAATTATTTGGGGTTGGAATAAATGCAAATGTCTTTTCTTTACTCTTTAGGAAAAACCTCCTCCAATCAACAAGCCAGAGAACAGCACACTGAATTTGCTCAGTACTCTGTCAAATGGAAGCAGTTCCAAGCAAAAGGCACCTACAGATGGAGTCCACAGGATCAGAGTGGACTTCAAGGTAAGGGATAAAATATCTTGGAAATATTTTGAGTGTAATTGGCTGTAAAATAAACATTTGGAGCGGTTTTCCCACTCAGGAATGCTATTCTTGACTTTTTAAGTAAGTGATGTACTGTGGTATGCTCTATTCTAAGATGGTATCAGTAGGAACCTCAGTATCTCTCTGAAAAGTCTTTCTGCTGTTGGAAGTTCTTCCATCTTATTCATAGATTCTAGGACTGGAAGGGACCTCGAGAGGTCATCGAGTCCAGTCCCCTGTTCTTCTTTATTACAATGTCAGTGTTGGATGAAGAGACTATTAGAACTTTAAACATAATTCTCAATATGAGAGCGAGAACGGATGAACAGGAGTTGCATTGTCAAGGAAGTAATTTCATCAAGGTGGAACTGTAAAACCATGACAGTTACTTGAGTAAAGAGAATTGGATATTCTATTAATCCTGTGTTGTTCACAGCAGCACTGGGATATGTTTGGGAGTTAAACAGTTGAATTTTGCATCTTTTTTTGTACATTAGTCACTTAAATATATGACATAATCAGCACTTTCCTAATCCACCGTGGGAGTGGTAGTCTCTCTTCTCCAGACCCTCAAGAAAAGTTTTAAAAGCAGAGGGTGTACTGAGGTCTTGTATTACTAAGACTTCATACTTTTATAAAATATATTACAGTAAACTGTGAAGTATGATTAGACTAATCAAAACATAGAATTGTGAACATTAGTGTATAAAGTATGCCTTGTGATATGTTGTCCTTCTTATATTCACTAACTAATACACAAACCTGTCAGTTACAGTGGGTCCACTCAGCAAGAATTAGTAAGATGTGACTTCTGTTTTTAATTTATATTATATGACTGGACCTAAGGTATGAGTTTTTAAATGTTTTGAAACTGAAACTGCTTAGGTACGCTGACTAACAGCAGTTGTGCAAATGTTGTGCTATACTTTTTTTCCCTAATGTTGCATTTCTCTTCTGCTTGATGTACCCTTTTGTGCTTTCAGGAGGACTGTGAAGTGGAGAACGTTTGGGAGATGGGTGGGCTAGGCATTCTGACCTCGGTACCTATCACTCCCAGAGTGGTCTGCTTTCTCTGTGCCAGCAGTGGACACGTGGAGGTAAAGCATCTTGTTCTGCTGTTGATCTTAGAATGTTTACAAGCACCGAAGTATTCAGCAATTGTGTATGCATTTCCTTTTTTGTTAAATCATGTTAAACAAGAGGAAATTCAGGCTATAAGCTGTAACTCCATCCTTTGCTAACCCTGTTGTGTCCGACAGTACCTAAACACATTGTATACGAAATCAGCTACTGTTTGAAGAGTTCAGTAGTCCTCCAAAAGAAGTGATCTGATCTATGTTAGGTATTAGGGTAACATTTTTAAAAACACCTAAGTCCCATTTTCAAACATGACTTAGGAACACAAATCTCATTGAAAGTCAGTGAGACTTAGATGCTTTTGAAAATTTTGCCTCACATGTATCTCAGCCTGTTAAAAGTTTCATGCAGTAGGGGATATGTTTGTCCCTGAAAAAAATACCTGTAGTGCTTTGTGACCACCTAGACAGAACAGGACACCAGTTGAAACTTCTGAGTAGGGCTGTCAAACGATTACAAAAATTAATCGCACGATAATTCGCACTGTTAAACAACATTAATAGAATACCATTTATTTAAATATTTTTGGCTGTTTTCTACATTTTCAAATGTGTTGATTTCAGTTACAACACAGAATACAAAGTGTACAGTGCTCACTTTATATTTATTTTTGATTACAAGTATTTTCACTATAAAACAAAATTGTATTTTTCAGTTCACTGTATACAAGTACTGTAATTCAATCTCTTTATCATGAAAGTTGAACTTACAAGTGTAGAATTAATACTGTTTTTTATTTTTGAATGCAGGTTTTTTTTCTACAGGGTAAAATTTTAGAGCCTGCAAGTCCACGCAGTCCTACTTCTTGTTCAGCCAGTTGCTTAGACAAATAAGTTAGTTTACATTTGCAGGAGATAATGCTGCCCGCTTCTTGTTCACAATGTCACCTGAAAGTGAGAACAGGCATTCGCATGGCACTGTTGTAGCTGGCGTCACAAGATATTTACGTGCCAGATGTGCTAAAGATTCATATGTCCCTTCATGCTTCAACCACCATTCCAGGGGACATGCGTCCATGCTGATGACAGGTTCTGCTCAATAACAGTCCAAAGCAGTGCGGACCGACGCATGTTCATTTTCATTATTTGAGTCCGAGGCCACCAGCAGAAGGTTGATTTTCTTTTTTGGTGGTTTGGGGTCTGTAGTTACCTCATTGGAGTGTTGCTCTTTTCAGACTTCTGAAAGCATTCTCCACACATCGTCCCTCTCAGATTTTGGAAGGCACTTCAGATTCTTAAACCTTGGGCTGAATGCTGTAGCTATCTTTAGAAATCTCACTTTGGTACCCTTCTTTGCCTTTTGTCAAATCTGCAGTGAAAGTGTTCTTAAAATGAACGTATGCTGGGTCATCATCTGAGACTGCTATTACATGAAATATATGGCAGAATGCGGGTAAAACAGAGCAGGGGGCATACAATTCTCCCCCAAGGAGTTCAGTCACAAATTTAATTAGCACATTATTTTTTTAATGATCATCATCAACATGGAAACATGTCCTCTGGAATGGTGGCCGAAGCATGCAGGGGCATACGAATGTTTAGCATATCTGGCACATAAATACCTTGCAACGCCGGCTACAAAATGCCATGTGAATGCCTGTTCTCACTTTCTGGTGACACTGTAAATAAGAAGAGGGCAGCATTATCTCGTGCAAATGTAACCAAACTTGTATGTATTAGCAACTGGATGAACAAGAAGTAGGACTGAATGGACTTGTGGGCTCTGAAGTTTTACATTGTTTTGTTCTTGACTGCAGTTCTGTAACAAAAAAAATCTACATTTGTAAGTTGCCGTTTCCTGACAAAGAAATTGCACTACAGTACTTGTATGAGGTGAACTGAAAAATACTATTTCTTTTGTTTATTGTTTTTACAGTACAAATATTTATAATAAAAATATACACTTTGATTTCAGTTACAACACAGAATGCAATATATATGAAAATATAGAAAAACATCCAAAATATTTAATAAATTTCAGTTGGTACTCTGTTGTTTAACAGTGCAATTAAAACTGTGACATGGGTGCTTAAAGTGGTTTGTGTGTGAATTCCAGTGTAAAATATTTGAATGCAAATACATGTTCTGTGAATTCTAAACCAGAGTTAGAAACAGAATAGAGAGCAGTTGGGTTTGGTTGAGAAGTCAACGGTGTTTGACATGCTGATGTTTTTCCCCCTTGTAGTTTGTGTATTGTCAGGTCTGTTGTGAGCCCTTCCACAAGTTCTGTTTAGAAGAGAGTGAGCGCCCTCTGGAGGACCAGTTGGAAAACTGGTGCTGTCGTCGTTGCAAGTTCTGTCATGTATGTGGAAGACAGCATCAGGCAACAAAGGTACTAAGAATAACAAATGTGACCATTTTGAGAGTGCTGTTTTCTTTGCCCATCATAAAATCATAAAATCGTAGACTATCAGGGTTGGAAGGGACCTCAGGAGGTCATCTAGTCCATCCCCCTGCTCAAAGCAGGACCAATCCCCAAGTAAATCATCCCAGCCAGGGCTTCGTCAAGCCTGACCTTAAAAACCTCTAAGGAAGGAGATTCCACCACCTCCCTAGGTAACCCATTCCAGTGCTTCACCACCCTCCTAGTGAAAAAGTTTTTCCTAATATCCAACCTAAACCTCCCCCACTGCAACTTGAGACCATTACTCCTTGTTCTGTCATCTGGTACCACTGAGAACAGTCTAGATCCATCCTCTTTGGAACCCCTTTCAGGTAGTTGAAAGCAGCTATCAAATCCCCCCTCATTCTTCTCTTCTGCAGACTAAACAATCCCAGTTCCCTACTTCCAGGAACTCTGTTTAGTTTAATTTATTTAAATCATTTAACATAGGACTGTATGTTTTGTGGGCTTAGTATTGGGATAAAGAACCTTTCAGTGCATGTGACAACATAGGATTGTCATTCTGGTGAATTCAGATTGACTAATTTACATATGACCTATTCCTGGCACACTGAATATTGAATCTAGTGTAAAATGGATTTTTGCATTTCTGTAGCAGTTGTTGGAGTGTAATAAGTGCCGAAACAGCTATCACCCTGAGTGCCTGGGACCAAACTACCCAACAAAACCCACCAAGAAAAAGAAAGTTTGGGTGAGTTTGCTCTGCTTGATTTATATTCCTTAGGAGCTACCAGCCAAAGCTCAAGCTAGTCAATCTGCAGATCTTTGATACATGATGGGGTTTCTTAGAATTTGTAATGCTGTCATAGTCTAGGTACAGCCTATTAAAGGATGCTTACTGTTTTATAAGGTAAATTTGAAAAAGTTTTATTATTAAAGATTGGCTTTTGAATGCTCTCATGGTGAATGAACTCTCTAGCATTGTGTGAATGAAGACGGGCAGGGATACAAGAGGAGACACCTGTCTTTTAGCCTTATTATGAATCCTCCTGAGCAAACTGTGTGGACAGGGGCCAGGGAATTCCCTTATATTAGTAAGTAAACACATAAAATTCCATTCTGACATTACTGTCAGTGGACATTGGTATGGTGACGGGTGTGAATGGGATTAGTGTGCTAGACTGTTCCTTGTATTTCAGGTTGTTAGCTTTTTGGGGAAGGGACTGTCTTCCTCTGCACAGTGGCTAGCACATTTTGGATACTTCTGTAATATAAATAAGGGTTTTATGCTGCTATACCTATGGCTTTGTCAACTTTCTACATTAGCCCTGCCTAAAATAAGAGGTTGTACAGAATGTCTTAAGAATTTTGTCCTTGTCAAAACCATGGTTGTTTTTTGTTTTTGTTTTCAAATTAAAGAAAGGTTTGAAATTAATTGTACCACAATTTCTAATGGCAAAAGTGCTAGACTGAAGCATATTTTTCTGTTGCATGGTCAGCTTTTTACCATAAGGAGGGAAGCATCTTCTCTGCTACCGAAGTTGTCTGAAGTGAGGGAAATGCCTAGCCATCTAACATGGGCCCAGAGATGCATATATATGGGATTCTCACACACACACACACACACACACACACACACACACTTGTGAAATGGATCTTTAGAACCCTCAGAAGATAGCAAAGATGCTAACTCCTGTCAATCTCTGTCCCCCTTACAGATCTGTACCAAATGTGTTCGCTGCAAGAGCTGTGGTTCAACAACTCCAGGCAAAGGATGGGATGCACAGTGGTCTCATGACTTCTCACTGTGTCATGATTGTGCCAAACTCTTTGCTAAAGGTACAAAACAGTTGCGGTTGCAACATTGTTTATGGTGAATGTAGTTTGAAGCTATTCGCAAGGCGATCACAACCATTGTAAGGAAATTTTATCACAGAATGAAGTGATGGCCTATGAGGCAGTTGAGCAGTGTTGCTGATTCCAAGCTATAGTGCCACTCCAGTGTCATGGCCAAGAACCAGTGAAATCATAAACTATGGAAGCTTTTGGTATGTGAAATCAGGGAAAGTAGGGTTGCTTTTTACAGTGGTTAACAAAGGAAAGTCAACATTGCCTCTTAGTGACAGACTTTGGGACTTCCATATAATAAGTACTATAAATTGTTGCATGGTTTATTTCAGAACTGTTGTCTAAAGATCCATACCAGCAGTGGAGAAGAGGCTACAAAATTTAAGACCGGATCATGGCCTGATTTAGACCATGTCCATATGTACAGCACTGCAGTGATGCAGCTGTGCCAGGGCAACGCATGTGGTGAAGACGCTCTATGCCAACGGGACAGAGCTCTCCCGTTGTCATAAAAAAACTACCTCCATGAGCAGGATAAGCTATGTCAGTGGGAGACGCTCTCCTGCCAACATAACGCTGTGCACATGAGTGCTTATGCTGGTGTAATTTATGTCACTCATGGGGGTGGAATATTCACACCTCTGAGCAACATAAATTTTGCTGGCATAGGCTGTAGTGTAGACATAGCTAAAAAAACAAATACTTTGGGTTAGGTGACCTCTTCCTCTTCCTCAGTCTCCCATGTCAGTTCAGAATCTGAATCTAAGGGGTATGGATGATAAGGGGAGGGGTAAATGACTAGACCTTGGTAGGAAATTAAGTTTATCCCACTTGCCAGATTAGCAGGATAGGTTTTTCTGTCTTATTTTGCCTGTAGAAGTATATCTTTTTCTCTCTCACACTTTTCCCTACAAAGCTATCTGGTCAGTCTTTTATTTTGTTACAAGTCTTGCAATAAAGGTAAAAATTAAGTGCCTCCTTATAGTGGAATTGTAAGACCCACATGGATCGTAGTTTATTTTTGTAGGCATTCTTATTTTTTCTGTGCGTTGTAAGGGTAGAAGTAGGAGCAGTTCGCATTTGGGCGGGAAGATTTCAGTGGGTTTGCTTCTCAGAAATATAGTAAGCAGCCAGACAGCCTTTGAGATGTGCATGCAGCAGCTGGAATGATGATTGAAGGTCCTGGCTTATTTACAGGAAACTTCTGCCCACTCTGTGACAAGTGCTATGATGACGATGACTACGAGAGTAAGATGATGCAGTGTGGGAAGTGTGATCGCTGGGTCCACTCCAAATGTGAAAATCTTTCAGGTGAGGCAAATTGTCTTTACTACTCAGCAGGCTCTCCTTGGCCCCTGGACCAATAATATGGCTGCATTAAAAGTTTCCATGTATGGGTGTTGCCACTAGACTAAAGGGATAAAATTTTAGACGTTCCTCACTACTAGAGTGTATGTTGGGTGGTATTTTAAGAAAAATACTGATCTTCCTACAGTTGAACCCAGGTTTAATACTGACAGTTTTCTGCAAATTTTGATATCCTCCTTCACAAGCTACCTAACGTAATAGCACCGTAGCTGAGTTCCACAGTTACTCTCTATGCAAAGATCATAGAAGATTAGGGTTGGAAGAGACCTCAGGAGGTCATCTAGTCCAACCCCCTGCTCAAAGCAGGACCAATCCCAACTAAATCATCCCAGCCAGGGCTTTGTCAAGCTGGGCCTTAAAAACCTCTAAGGATGGAGGTTCCACCACCTCCCTAGGTAACCTATTCCAGTGCTTCACCACCCTCCTAGTGGAAAAGTTTTTCCTAATATCCAACCTAAACCTCTCCCACTGCAACTTGAGACCATTACTCCTTGTTCTGTCATCTGTCACCACTGAGAACAGCCGAGCTCCATTGATTGTTGATGGGAAAGACTGGGTATCGCTAGACAAAGCAAGTGTGGTATATAGAGTGGTTCCTTTTTTCTTTTTTTTTTTTGCCTCTCCCTTTACCCCTCCTCTAGTTAAGCAGCTCAGGTTGTGTTTGTTACTTTTTTTTGTCTCCAGATGAGATGTATGAAATCCTCTCTAACCTTCCTGAGAGTGTGGCATACACTTGCATTAACTGCACAGAGCAGCACCCTGCCGAATGGCGGCTGGCACTGGAAAAGGAGCTGCAAGTTTCTTTGAAGCAGGTTTTAACAGCCTTGTTAAATTCCAGGACTACCAGTCACTTACTACGTTACAGACAGGTGGGTTCACCTCTGCGTTGAGCACAATTTTATGAGATGCCCATCTCCAGATTGGGTTCTACTGTTGCTAGATGTCTTCTTTTGGGAAGTTGATTCATTGTACTTGATAAATCAAAGTATATGTAATTAAGTTTTTATTTTATATGGTAATCTACATAGGTAGACATGAAGGATATATAATCTTTAAATTAGTGTAGGACAAGTGGTGTTTTAGGGAGAGGGGGAATTTGGGACTTTAACAGAGGGTCCTGTGGCGCCTTTAAGACTAACAGAAGTATTGGAAGCATAAGCTTTTGTGGGTAAGAACCTCACTTCTTGCATCTGAAGAAGTGAGGTTCTTACCCACGAAAGCTTATGCTCCCAATACTTCTGTTAGTCTTAAAGGTGCCACAGGACCCTCTGTTGCTTTTTACAGATTCAGACTAACACGGCTACCCCTCTGATACTTAACAGTAACAATGTCTCTGACTGAGGGTGGAGACTTTATGGTTGTAAAAAGTTGTCAGACTTGTGGAAATGAATTTGTGTTCCCACAGCTGATCACTGCCCTTTGCACGTGAACAAGCTGCTACTTGCGCCCATGCTAGGAAATGTAATAAATTGTGAAAATCCTTGCAGACGTGCAGGAGAATTGCCCCTGTGTAGTTCACAAAGCTGTTTTTTATGAATTGGGGCTTGTTGCTGCTTAAGTTCAGCAGTGAAATTTCGGAATGTATTCATTTTAAGCTCTGCTGCCGAATGATTTTGCTTTCCTGTCCAGGCATCGTTATGCATACGTGTTTTTTGCCAAAGTTCTGGGATAGCCTCCCTTTTGTGCACAGTACGGTTGAATTGCAATAATGGGATAATAAAATATCAAAACTTCCCACATATGCTTATCATTTCCTGTGTGAAGTGACACTGTGGAACTACATTATAGGGCAGTGGAAGTTTAGGTCTCTTGTTTTGTATTCCCTACTCTGCCACTGTGCAACCCAGGATAAGTCCCTTCCCCACTCTGCCTCATTTTATCCTTCTGTAAAATGGAGTCTGGTTACTTACCGCACAGGATGACGATAGGCTTAATTAATGTTTATAAATCACTTTGAGGAACAGCACTGTACAAGTACAAAGTATTACGTGAAGGCAGGGTGTTCCGCAGGCATGTATTTGTGTGGCTGCATTTCTGAATGGTCTGAAAATTGGTCCAAAACTTTGGAAGCTTGCCAGAAAGTTATTTTGTACAGCACAATAGGTGAGCATGTTATTTTGGATAAAAATGATCGGTTCATGCCTTAAGAAGGTGTCTAAATTAGACACTAAACAGAAAGAGATAATAAATAGGAGGGCGTGAGCGAGGGGAAAGAATAAAGATTATGACCGTGAAATAGCAAAAGGAATTATTATTGTAGATTGCATAACATTTTAGTTCCACAGTGAATTATTTAATAGAATTTGGTGACCATGTCTGAATGAGGAGTAAGGGTAGAAGTCAGCAGTAGGAATCAGTTTAAAAAGAGAGACATTTTTCCCATTTATTTTTTTGAGGAGGACTCAGAGCTTTGTCCATTGAGCCTACTGTTCTTCCTACTAACATGTGACTTTGTTTTGTCACCCTATCTTCATTTCTGCAGGAAAAAGTTAGTGCGTTTAAGTGTGACTCTCACTCAGTATAACGCTGGATATAGAATGTTTTGTCCTTTTCCTTTTAATGTTAACAGGCAGCCAAACCACCGGATTTAAATCCTGAGACAGAAGAGAGTATCCCATCCAGAAGTTCTCCTGAAGGTCCAGATCCTCCTGTTCTAACAGAGGTCAGCAAGCAGGAGGAGCAGCAGCCTCTGGACCTGGAAGGAGTGAAAAGAAAAATGGATCAAGGAGGTTACACTTCCGTGGTAACTTCTCATTCTTGTTATAATTGCTCAGTTATAATAAATACCCTTTTCTGGTGACTATAACGCCATCTTTGTGAAGTAGCTCATAGAATGCCTAAGTCCTATCTTTATTGAACAAGGAAACTTTTAAAAATATTAAATAATATTAAAGGGAAGCCTTTAAAATATTAAATTTACACCATTTTGTTCCATGTTCTTTTACACTGAGAAGGCATTTGGTTACAATTATTTCAGTTGCTGATGAAAAATCTGTATCCAAGAAAACAGGAGAGGATACCTTTTGTGTGTTACTTCTAACTAAATATATATAGTTCAGTGACTTCATTGATTTTGTTTTCATCTGAGTTCTCTGGAAATTAATTATTCATATTTAGAAGGAAGAGAGTCTTGGGAGCAGTATATGTAAAAATGCTAATATAACTGAATCATAGATTCATAGATTCTAGGACTGGAAGGGACCTCGAGAGGTCATCGAGTCCAGTCCCCTGCCCGCATGGCAGGACCAAATACTGTCTAGACCATCCCTGATAGACATTTATCTAACCTACTCTTAAATATCTCCAGAGATGGAGATTCCACAACCTCCCTAGGCAATTTATTCCAGTGTTTAACCACCCTGACAGTTAGGAACTTTTTCCTAATGTCCAACCTAGACCTCCCTTGCTGCAATTTAAGCCCATTGCTTCTTGTTCTATCCTCAGAGGCTAAGGTGAACAAGTTTTCTCCCTCCTCCTTATGACACCCTTTTAGATACCTGAAAACTGCTATCATGTCCCCTCTCAGTCTTCTCTTTTCCAAACTAAACAAACCCAATTCTTTCAGCCTTCCTTCATAGGTCATGTTCTCAAGACCTTTAATCATTCTTGTTGCTCTTCTCTGGACCCTTTCCAATTTCTCCACATCTTTCTTGAAATGCGGTGCCCAGAACTGGACACAATACTCCAGCTGAGGCCTAACCAGAGCAGAGTAGAGCGGAAGAATGACTTCTCGTGTCTTGCTCACAACACACCTGTTAATACATCCCAGAATCACGTTTGCTTTTTTTGCAACAGCATCACACTGTTGACTCATATTTAGCTTGTGGTCCACTATAACCCCTAGATCCCTTTCTGCCGTACTCCTTCCTAGACAGTCTCTTCTCATTCTGTATGTGTGAAACTGATTTTTTCTTCCTAAGTGGAGCACTTTGCATTTGTCTTTGTTAAACTTCATCCTGTTTAACTCAGACCATTTCTCCAATTTGTCCAGATCATTTTGAATTATGACCCTGTCCTCCAAAGCAGTTGCAATCCCTCCCAGTTTGGTATCATCCGCAAACTTAATAATCGTACTTTCTATACCAATATCTAATCAGAATCAGCTTGCTATGTAAGGAACCAGCATTGAATAATGTGATAATCTTACCAATTTTATTTTTTTCAGAAGCTTTTTCATTTTAAGATAATCTTGCCTTTGAATGTATATTCTATTTCCACTGCAACCACATGCCGTGTGTCTTTAAAATAACCGCAAAACTTGACCAAGACACTGTATAAAATGGCAGTTTAGTTACCTCATAAGATCCATTTTGACTTTGGTTTTGCTTCTCTTGGTATTGGCTGAGGGAAAATCATGTAAATGTTCCACATCACTTAGAAGCAACCCCACCAGTCAATTCGCAAATCAGTGTGCAACTTGAGGTGTAAAGGGGGTAAGATCTGACCTTTTGAGGAGGAGCATCCCATTCAGTGGGGGCTTACCATGCGGACTAAGAATTTGGAGATGGCGCAGGTGTGCAGAAGAGGGTAACATGTTGATATGAACTATGTGTTTTCTTGTAGTTGGAATTTAGTGATGATATTGTGAAGATTATTCAAGCAGCCATTAATTCAGATGGAGGGCAACCAGAAGTTAAAAAAGCTAATAGCATGGTCAAGTCCTTCTTTATTCGGGTGAGGAATACAGTTTATTTTTAAATGCTGCTTTCTATGTAATTACGTCTTTGTTTTAAAATTTAAAAAAATAAAAATAAAAAAAAAAGTTTGTCCCTTGATTCCCAAACTTCCAGATTAGCTGTTTGTGCTGCCACTGGAATTCAAAGAGTTCATCACATTCTGTGTACTTAGCATCTTTCTGGTTAAGCAATTGGTTGGTTGGCTGTCCTTGGGAAATAAGTTAGTACCTTGGCACAGTTCTCAACCTTAATGAAGTCTTCTTGACTGACCTGAGATCTGCACGTTTGCTGTGGATCTTGGATGAATTTCTTTGATCTTTTCATTAATATTTTCTTATATTCTAATTTAGCTTTGTTTTTATTTCAGCAAATGGAGCGTGTTTTTCCATGGTTCAGTGTAAAAAAATCCAGGTTTTGGGAGCCAAATAAAGTAACAAGCAAGTAAGTAACTGTTCTGTATCCAGAAGCAGCACCCTGCAGTTTGTCAGCTGTCAAAGCAAAAAAAAGAACAAGACATGCTGTTACTTAGTAGTAAAAACAACAGTCAAATTCCCAGATGGGTTTATTGTATGCATTTTGTGCTTCTGAAGCGGAGAGACTAAAAGCATGGTATAGAGCCTGGTTTCGTGTGTGCTGATGTGGTGTGAGCTGCCCTCTGTCTAGCATCGCCTTCGTTCTGTGTTTATATCATCCCTGAAGGAAACAGACGACAGCAACACAAATGTTGAAATGTAACTGATTGGTAGTAGTGATTAGTTGAGAGCAGAATACAGGTTTTAAGTATTGAAAGGAACTGTAACTGGATACCGACTGTAGGATGTTTACAGTGTTCAGGTCACTCGGTAGAGCCAGGTCTGACCATTGACTCCTCTTTACATTTTCAGCAGTGGGATGTTGCCGAATGCAGTGCTGCCCCCTTCACTTGACCATAATTATGCTCAGTGGCAGGAGCGTGAAGAGAATAACCACACTGAACAGCCCCCTTTGATGAAGAAAATCATTCCAGCTCCAAAACCCAAAGGGCCTGGAGAACCAGATTCACCAACTCCGCTGCATCCGCCGACACCACCTATCTCTAGTAAGAAACCAGATCCCTGTAGAGATGACCCAAACCCTGATGTGCCCATCCTTCTCCAAAATCTTGAGAGCCAAGGGGGTAGACTGTATTAGCTCCACACAAGGACTTGTACATGTTCATTCTTTGAGAGAACTCTTGGGTGTATTTGAATAATCTGTGAATGGTTTCATGATCTCTTGCTAGTTCAGACCTTATCAAGCAATCAGCATATTTGCTGTTTGCCAGAGCTGATTGAGGCACATCCAGGATCCTGGCAGCTCCACTCAAATAAACTGGGTACAAGGGCCGGCTGTAGGGAGAGGAGAAGAGGGCAGCAGGACAGAGGCTGCTGGGGTGGGAGGCAGAGAGGAGAATGGCAGGGACACGATACAGAAGGCAATATGAAGTTGCAGAGCAGTGCCAGGGGCAGAAGAAGAGCAGCTCCATTAAGGACACCAGGAGCTGAAAGGATAGACACCACAAGCGAGATCAAAGGAGGCTCCAGTTGGTCATGGGAGCAGCCCTATATCATGGGACTATTACACAGGAAGCCTCAGCCCTTGGGGTGGTGTCTGTCTTTTCTTCATCCTTTTTTCTCTCCCTGCCCATGAGGAGGGGGAGGTCAGGGGACTAGGTGTGAGACCTGACATTCTACTGGTCCCTCTACCGGTCTCTTCTGGGCCAGGAAGAGACAAATACATAGAAGTGCCTGGCTTGAAAGGAGACTGCAAAGGAACACCTTAAAAGAACTTAACCTGAACAGTTATCTGGGATTCCTCTGCTGAGCCATGGCCAGTATCATGTTCATTTCTCCCCAGAAAGTGGCCCTGTAGCCCCTGAGGTCTGCCTTACTGACCCTGCTCTTTGGTTTAAAACATTCAGGCTAGTAATGAATGCTGCATATGCTGCTATTTGACTCTTCTACATTTGTGCACTTAAAACTCTTAAACTGACAAGTTTTCTAAATAAGTATTTCCCTCCCCCACTCTCTCTTTAAGAACCAGTTGCCAAGAATAAACATTCTTTCTTTTTGCTGTAAGGCTCTGATAGAAGCCGGGAGGATAGCCCTGAACTTAATCCACCTCCTGATGTGGAAGACAATAGGCAGTGTGCACTCTGTCTGAAATATGGTGATGATAGTGCTAACGTAAGTATCTGCACAGCACTCTCTCTATAATAGTGACAGACTATGACGATGGATTGTCCTTTTGAGCTGCCATTGGTAATAGGATAGATGCTTACTGATTTCTCTGGTCATAGTTAATATTAAAGTAGTATTGCTTGCATTAGGTCAAAAAAACCTTTTTCTTTAAGCCTGGTTTGTTCTGATCTGGAGTGTGGTTTGGTTTTAATTCCAAATTTAATTTTATTTTTTAATTTATTTTTTATTTTTTTGGCATTTTAAGAGTCACTCCTTTGATACGAGTTCACGAAATAATGCATAGAGGGAAATTATGAGCTGCATTTATTTCCGATGAAATTTCTGATTCTGGGACACAGACAGAGAACCTGTAGAAACAAAAGTTTAATTTTTCAGCTTCCAATAGCACATTGAGTACTATGGAGCATATAACAGGTTAAAATTGGAGCTTAACTACTATTTAGGCTGTCCTTTTTTTAAACTGAGATTACTGCTAATTTGCTAAACTTCCTTTTTGGGTGGATTGAAATCCAGTGCAAGTGGAAGTTTGCTGGGATCTTTGTGCATTGCTGTACCTTAGGACAATGGTTTTCAACCTTTGTTGAAATGTCTAAGATTTCGAAAGGAGTGCACACCTCCCAGGAGTCTGCAAATGAAAAAAGATTGAAAACCACTGTCCTAAGGAATCTTTGAAAAACTATTTATTACATGTTTTTCTTTAGGATGCTGGACGTCTCCTGTACATTGGCCAGAATGAATGGACACATGTAAACTGTGCTTTATGGTCAGCAGAAGTGTTTGAGGATGATGATGGGTCTCTGAAAAATGTACACATGGCTGTGATCAGAGGGAAGCAGTTGGTGAGTATAAGCAAATGTGGCTTGGTTAGGGTTGAGACTGGAGTCCATCTAAAGGAATTCTTGTGGGTTTTTTCCCTCCTCTCCCTTCCTATTATTAATCTGATTTCTGATTTTAAGTTTTACCACTGTCTGTAACATAGAGTATGTTCCTTAACTAGTCCTTCCGCTGGCTGGCTGGCTGGCTGGCTGGCTGGCAGGCATTTGAAAGCCTACTTTTCCTCCTGATGCAGTGTGAACTCCTGGTATAGAAAAATGTTGGAGACCAAAGGGTTAATTTGCTTGTAATAGGAGGGCAACACTTTATGGACTCAGAATTTTACAGGGGAATCTCCCATGAACAAATTCTTTGTGAGTTCAGCACTTAAGAACCATGGCAGCGATGAGGGATGTCAGTTGCACAGCTAAATATTGCACTAAAATATGAAATGTATAACTACATACTGCACTGCAACTCCCTTCTGAGAACAAACGTTACTACATGACTGCAGGAAGGGGGATCAAAGCCTGAGCCCAGACAAGCCCCACTGCCCCAGGCGGAGGGGCCAAAGCTTGAGCCCCACAACCCGGGCTTGGGCTTCAGCCCCAGGCCACAGCAAGTCTAACACCAGCCCTGGCAACCCCATTAAAATGGGTTTGCAACCCACTTTGGGGTCCTGACTCACAGTTTGAGAACTGCTGCTATATATATTTAGGACTTTCTGGTTCATCTCTGTCTGCATTTGCCTTTAGGGGGGAGGGATAGCTCAGTGGTTTGAGCATTGGCCTGCTAAGCCCAGGGTTGTGAGTTCAATCCTTGAGGGAGCCACTTAAGTATCTGGGGTAAAATCAGTACTTGGTCCTGCTAGTGAAGGCAGGGGACTGGACTCGATGACCTTTCAAGGTCCCTTCCAGTTCTAGGAAATAGGATATCTCCATTAATTTAATTTAATTTTAATTTATTTAAAAATTTGATTCTAGTGAGGCTTGGGTAAGAGAGAGGCACTATTCCAGGATAACTGGGCTGAAGAGTGTTAGTTCAAAATAAGTTATTGACTGAGCCAAAATGGCTGCTTGCCATTTGCGGATGTTCATAAAATCCAGTATAGGCTGGTTATTCTGTAGAGATCTCGCCTACAGAGAGAGACATCATCATAAACTCTGCAAAAGGTTTTTCTAAATTCTGACCAGACTTGGAAAATGGAGTAACCTTCTTATTGTGACACAGTGGCTGCTTTCTTTCTAGAAGAAAGGAAATGGGGCTGAAGGCAATTGCACAAATCAAATTGAACTAATCTGACCAAATCTTGGTATTGCATCATTTCCCCCTAAACAATGGTTTTCGTATTAAAGCTTCAAAAATAGTGATAAATTGTGCCTGTATTTTGGCCAGCACCAAGGCCTACAGGAGGGAGTAGTTGCCATTTCTAGGTCAGGGGTGCACACGCACAATTGTGCAGGCTTCAGCCAAGCATACCTGTGTGGTTCTTGTCCTGAAGGATAAGCAGAATAACCTCTCTGTGGATTTTGAGGGATCCAAAGTTTAGGTGGAAAATAGTATGGTCTTCAGGGAATTTTCCTCTTTCTCCACTGCAACCCCCCCTCCCCCCCACGCACACATGTGCGCTGTCTCCTGTGGATGGGTTTTTGGGTGTGAGCCTATGCAAAATAACGCATTGTATAATTTTTGACTTTCATTAACATAAGCTCATTCAAAGTCTAAACCCCTTTTTCAGTCTGTGAAAGAAACAAATGATAGTGACATGATGATTTGTTCAAAAAGACGTCTTTGTAATTTTTCCATGCTTTGGCTTCGTAGAGATGTGAGTTCTGCCAAAAGTCAGGTGCCACAGTAGGCTGCTGCCTTACTTCCTGCACTAGCAACTATCACTTCATGTGCTCCCGAGCCAAGAACTGTGTCTTTCTGGATGATAAGAAAGTGTACTGCCAGCGGCATCGTGACTTGATCAAAGGAGAGGTGAGATCTCACACTCTCATACCCCTTTTTGTCCGAGGCTTGGGAGAACTGTAGCAATAAGCATTTTTATTTCTTAAAAGGTTTAGGTGAATGTCCTCTTCATGAAAGTAAGGACCTGACACACTAGTGGGGAAGAGAGGTTAGTGATGTGACTAACAGCTCTGGATAGGTGTGGCAAGTGCTGTATAAGTCTCCACACAGCCCCATCTGAGAGACCAAATCAAGTATCCATTGAGCGAGGCTGGGTGAAACATGCATGTTTCCTTTAAAATTAATGTGTTGCTCGGGGGGTTCTTGCTCTAGGTGGTACCGGAGAATGGGTTTGAAGTTCTTAGAAGAGTTTTTGTGGACTTTGAAGGGATCAGTTTGAGAAGAAAATTTCTTAGTGGCCTGGAGCCAGAAAACATCCACATGATGATTGGTAAGGCCTGTGTCTCTTAGTGGTTGTTCTGTCTTTTGGTGCTGGAATCTGATCTCCTCTCTCTTCTAGAACTCTTCTTGTCCTCTTTCTGGTTTAGGTTCAATGACTATAGACTGCTTAGGAATTCTGAATGATCTGTCAGACTGTGAAGACAAGCTGTTCCCCATTGGTTATCAGTAAGTATAAACTGTTGCATCATTAGGTAGATCTTACTGTACTAGACTCTTATCAGTCATGGGCTCGATCCATAGGTCTTTATTCAGGGAAATTTTCATTGAAGCTGATGGTAGCTTGTTTGAGCAAAAACTGCTCAAGAACCTTGGAATTTGGCTGGGATGACTCCAAATAGTACAGGAAGCATATAGCCTCCATAGTTTTGAGAAGATGAAAACTGAAGACAGGAATGTGGAGGTCTCTCTCTACATTAGTGACAAAATTTATTTTACTTTCTAAATATTTTCCAGGTGTTCCAGGGTGTACTGGAGCACAACAGACGCTCGGAAGCGCTGTGTGTATACTTGTAAGATCATGGAATGTCGACCTCCTGTCATAGAGCCAGATATCAATAGCACTGTAGAGCATGATGAGAACAGGACAATTGCTCATAGTCCAGCACCCCCAACAGGCAAGTCTCTTAAGATACTTTTATAGTGGCAAATCCTCTGTATATTTTTTTCTTCAACCATATGGCTCATGATTTTTAGTAAGCAGGTGAGAGATATTCCAAAACGTGAATTTTTTGTCCTGTGCTCAGTGCCCTGTGTGTTCTTGGACATAGAACTTGACACAGAATACCCTCTGTGCTGCAGAAGTGTGCTCCAGTATCTTATGATTTTATTTTAAAAAATTGTTTCTAGGACTCATAGTTGCATAGGTAGTCTTGGAAACTTGAACCTAAGCTGATGCAGCATTGCCTTCCAGTCTTCAGATAGCCTGACACAATCGCTCTGAGAGTTGTGAACTGACCCATTTAGCACAGGGGTGTTAACTCTGAAACCAAAAATTATGCTTTAAATGTCAATATTGGTAAATATTTCACTGCTGTTAGTTTTAGCAAAATCAGCTAACTGCTATGCCTGTTCCATAATTCCAGACTGCTTCCTACTCTTCCACAGATGCTGACAGCCTCAGTTACCTCCTTCCAAGCTGTCAAAACCTCCAGCTTCACTTCCAGACAACTTCTACAATGCAGTTATGCGTTGTCAGTACAAAAACCTGCAGTATATTAAAAATATACACAAAAGGGCGTCTGTCTTATTATTTTAGGCACCTCTGACAAAAATAAAAAACAACCTGAAACAGCTAAATGCACCAGCAATCTCCAATAAAATTCCTCTCCTCTTCAAGCCCTACATCCCCAAAAGCCTGAGTATTCAGATAAGCCTTGTGTTGCCCCTTGAAGATCAGCTGAACCTAGCTGTTCTGACCTAGAGTGAGGATAGCTCCCAAAGCAATGAATCTCTCTGAAAATATTCTATCACCTTGGGGCTCCGTTTCAAGTCTCTCTTGATCACAACTGTGGCAGTATTGCACAAGAAGAGACTGTTTCTCAGGTCGGCAGGTCCTAGGCCATTTAGATCAAAACCGAATTATTTAAATCCTCCATTTTTCATTTAAATACAGTTGCCACAAAATTTCAGGTTTGCTGCCCCAAGACTGCTGCAACAGAATCCTTTGAGCCTTGCTGTAGAATTGAAATCGATCTTGCTGAACAGTACATGAGGACTTTGACTGTAGTGCAAGTCTATGGATAGAAGGGGAGTGTAAGGGTTTGTCTACACACCTTGGCAGTGTGCACTAGACTGGTGTAAATTGTAAATTGATCCAAAGCGTTGCTCTGCCAATGCTTTCTAAGAGGTTCCTCATGTTAACATAGTAGTGTTTCAGAAAGAATCACATCAGTGGGCACTGGATGCCTTTTAGAGCATGTCAGTAGGGTCTACATGGGGCAGTTGGGACACACCAGAATATACACTCCTCTGGTATGCAGTGCTTCACTGAGTACCTAAGTAGGTAGTTATAGCCAAGGCTTGGGAATCAGGAGACTTCCTTATTACTGTAGTGGCAAAGGTGTTCATGGGGCTTTATTGACATGTAAAAAGACAAGGTCATTACCCCAGGGCAAAGTATTAGTGAAGCTGCCACATGGGTGGGTCATAAATTAGTTTTACGTTGTGTATTTTTTGTTTGAGTTTCAGCTGAAAAAACATATTTCGGGGCAAGAAATTAGACTATTACTTCCTGAGGATCTAATACAAGATGTCAGTGGTTTTATGTTTTGTTTAAAAAATGTATCTTGATTTCGCTGAGTGAAACTTGTCAACAACAGATGGTCCAGGGTTTTAGTTTTTAATGTCTGAATTTTTATTACTCTTACTCTGCAGCAGAAACTCTATCCAAAGAGAGTCGAAATACACCAGAAATGGTAAACCCTCCATCTCCAGATCGTCCCCTGCATTCTCAGACCTCCAGTTCCTGTTACTATCCTCTGATCTCAAAAGGTCCCAGGGTCAGGACACCAATCTATCCCCTAACACAGCGGTCTCCTGGGTCTAGGCCTTTGCCCTCTGCAGGTATTGTGCTGCCTTTCTTTCGTTGTTTTTGTGTCTCTCTCATGCTTTGTTTCTCAAGTTCTGCTCACTTTAGATACTCAGTTTGTTTGTTGTGGAGATGATAGTGCAAAACGGAGCATGAGGGAAGAAGAGAGATTCTGGGGGATGTGCAGGAGAGGTTATTTGTCAAGGGCTGCATACTCAAAACAAAAATATGCCCAGGGAAAGGCTCTAGAATTGTAATAGCTCTCAGCAGCGGTCATAGTTTTGGCTTATTAAGGTCCCAAAAATTTTAAATGGCACTTTTTAGTGAGACTCAGAATTTCAGTATCTTGGGTGATGTAATTCTTTTGTGTGGTGATCATGTGTTCTTTAAAAAGCATTTGTAGAATCTTTTATAAAAAGCTTTGAAATCCTTTGGATGAAAGATATACCAAAGTTCACTTTTAGTCAAAAAGAGAGCATACTTACTGAATTATTTCCAGAGTGTGTTGAAAACCTACATTAAGCATCAGTTCAAATTTACTTTTAAAGACAAGATAGTAATCCTCTTAAGTTATCCTGAAACTAGTATGCTCTGACATTAACATGTGTAATGTTGCCAGCAGTGAGAGGTAGCAGGTAAAATAACACTTCTGAGTTATTTTGAATTCATTTGTTTAACTTTTGTGATGTCTTTGTAAATCAGAATTAGTTCTTGCATTTCAGAGACTTGAAATTGTGTAGCATCGAACCCTACAGGGTATGATTCAGAAATTATCAACATTAGCTTCAAAAGATGCAGAGCTGACAATATTGGATGTTTACAAAGAGACTGATTTTGGGAGAATACGTATCTTCAGTCTTATTTCTTCATTTTTAATTTGACAGTATTTCTAAAATATGTTTTGTTTGTTGAATTTCTTAGGTATGTGCATCGTTTGTATAATCAAATGGCATGAATGTGTTGGCTGTGTGATACCCATATTGTTTCACTGTATTTTTTTTCCCTGCTTTTCCTCTTCAGGAAGTCCTACACCAATGACCCATGAAATAGTAACAGTGGGAGATCCTTTATTATCCTCTGGACTTAGAAGCATTGGCTCTAGGAGACACAGTACCTCCTCTTTGTCACAACAGCAGTCAAAACTCCGAATGATTTTTCCCACCAGAGTTGGGAACACTTACTCCAGACACACTGTGCCTGGAGTATCTAGTATCGGATCCTCTTCAGAGCATGAATCAAGCTCAAAAAATATAGACAGCTTCAAAGGGTCAGTGAATTTAAGTGCTCCAAGTGCTTTAGCTCAAAATAGCCCTAACTCTTCAAGCTCTCCGAGAACGGTAGCTACAAGTGGAAGTAAAACTTGTCATTTGGGTGGATCTCAGTCTTCAGAAATAAAACACTCTGCCAGTTCAGAGTCTATGTCCAAAAGCACATCTTCAAAGGGAGAGAAGACAAAATTGTTGAGCTCAAAGGACTCAGATTCTTCAGCTCATAGCTTTGCTTCATCTGGGAATACTAAAATCTCCACCCAAGTGCTTAGTACATCAGGCATAGAATTAAACATTAATAAAAAGGGAACTTTTCAAGAACCTTCTTCTGCGACACTTTCTTCCAAAGATACAATGCCCTTTCCATCTTTCCATCAGAGAGGCCCAAGGAAAGATAGAGACCTACATATGGACCTCATACAACCAGAAAAAATCCCTTCTGTTGAAGATATAGATGGAAAGAACTTAAAGCCTGCTGGAATAAGTAGCAGGTCTTCTGCAGCAAGTGACCACGTGGTTTCTGCTTGCAGAGACAGACGACAGAAAGGAAAAAAGTTAACAAAAGACACTTACAAAGAGAAACATTCTGTAAAAACTTTTACAGACTCGAGTCAATTGACCACCTGTGATGAAGGAAGCTTAAAACCAGAATTCATAAATCAGGTTTTGGCAACTGAACAGATTAGTCAGAGGTTGTGTAGTAATGTTTCTGCTGAGAAAACGGGGGATAAGTCTCCACCTACACAAGGGGCATCTAAAGCTCCATTGGTGCAAGTTGAAGTGGGCTCAAAGGAAGCACAGGCTCCTAGAAAACGCACAGTTAAAGTAACCCTGACTCCTCTTAAGATGGAAAGTGAAAGCCAATCTAAAAATGCACAGAAAGAAAATGATGCCGAATCGCAGAGTAAGGGTGCAGAACCAACTGCTTTGACAGAGCTATCTTCAACTTCTGAAAGCCAAGGAGATGGTTCTGTTGTCCAGGGAAGTCCAAGTGATACTCCTACCCAGGAATCTCAAAATAATTCTTATCCGAATCTGCCTGTTGAAGACAGAAACTTGATGCTTCAGGATGGAACTAAAGCTCAGGAAGATGGTTCCTACAAGCGGAGGTATCCCCGGCGAAGTGCTCGGGCAAGATCTAACATGTTCTTTGGATTAACTCCTTTGTATGGTGTGAGATCTTATGGAGAGGAAGACATTCCATTTTACAGCAACTCAACTGGGAAGAAGCGAGGAAAGAGGTCTGCAGAAGGACAAGTAGATGGTGCAGATGACTTAAGTACTTCGGATGAAGATGACTTGTACTACTACAATTTCACCAGGACAGTGGTTTCCTCAAGTGCAGAAGAGAGGCTTGGATCCCATAATTTATTCAAGGAAGAGGAGCAGTGCAATCTTCCAAAAATCTCCCAATTAGATGGTGTGGATGATGGAACAGAAAGTGATACAAGTGTTACAGCAACAACAAGAAAAGTAAATCAGGTAACCAAAAGAAGTGGCAAAGAAAATGGGACTGAAAACTTAAAGCTTGATCGAGCTGAAGAAGCTGGAGAGAAAGTACAGGTCACCAAGAACTCCACTGGCCATAAGACTGACCCAAAGATTGATAATTGCCATGCTGTGAGCAGGGTTAAAACACAGGGTCAGGATTCCTTGGAAGCTCAGCTGAGTTCCTTGGACACAGGCCGTAGAGCTCATGCTAGCACACCCTCAGAGAAGAACTTATTGGATACTTTTAACACAGAACTGCTAAAGTCAGACTCTGACAATAACAATAGCGATGACTGTGGAAACATTCTCCCTTCGGACATCATGGACTTTGTACTAAAGAATACACCATCGATGCAGGCTTTAGGAGAAAGCCCGGAGTCCTCTTCATCTGAACTTCTAACGCTGGGGGAAGGGCTAGGTCTTGATAGTAATCGTGGCAAGGACATGGGTTTGTTTGAAGTGTTTTCTCAACAGCTGCCAACTGCTGAACCAGTGGATAGTAGTGTTTCTTCCTCTATATCAGCAGAGGAGCAGTTTGAGTTGCCTTTAGAACTTCCATCAGATCTCTCCGTTCTAACTACTCGTAGTCCTACTGTGCCCAGCCAAAACCGCAACAGGCTTGCTGTAATTTCAGAGTCTTCACTCTCATCTTCAGGAGAGAGGTCTATACTGGCTTTACCTTCCACAGAATCTGGAGAGAAGAGAGTTACAGTCACAGAAAAATCTGCCTCCGGTGAAGGGGATGCAACTCTTTTAAGCCCAGGGGTAGACCCAAGCCCTGAAGGACATATGACTCCTGATCATTTCATCCAAGGTCACATAGATGCAGAGCACATAGCCAGCCCACCTTGTGCCTCAGTAGAGCAAGGACATGGCAGCAACCAGGATTTAACTAGGAACAGCGGTACTCCTGGACTCCAAGTGCCAGTATCGCCTACTGTTCCTCTTCAAAACCAAAAATACGTTCCAAACTCCACTGACAGTCCTGGTCCATCTCAGATTTCTAATGCTGCAGTACAGACAACCCCGCCCCACCTAAAACCAACCACTGAAAAACTTCTGGTAGTCAATCAGAATATGCAGCCTCTGTATGTCCTCCAGACTCTTCCCAATGGTGTTACACAAAAAATACAGCTGACTCCTTCTGGTAGTTCTGCACAGAGCGTAATGGAGACCAATACTTCAGTGCTAGGGCCCATGGGCAGTGCACTTACATTGACTACGGAATTAAATCCAAGCCTGCCATCATCTCAGTCTTTATTCCCCCCCACTAGCAAAGGACTGTTGCCTATGTCCCATCACCAGCATTTGCATACCTTTCCCACAGCTACTCAGAGTGGTTTCCCACCAAATATTGGCAGTCCTGCATCAGGTCTCCTTATTGGTGTACAGCCACCTCCTGATCCTCAGCTTTTAGTGTCTGAAGCAAGCCAGAGGACAGACCTTGGCACTACAGTTACCACCCCAACATCTGGCCTTGGGAAGAAAAGGCCAATCTCCCGACTGCAGTCACGAAAGAATAAAAAGCTAGCTCCGTCTGGAACCCCTTCTGCCATAGCTCCTTCAGATATGGTTTCCAACATGACTTTGATTAATTTTGCTCCCTCCCAACTTTCCAACAGCCCATTAGATTTGGGGACCCTTGGAAATTCGACATCCCATAGGACTGTTCCCAATATTATTAAAAGGTCTAAGTCTGGAGTCATGTATTTTGAGCAAGCGTCTTTGCTGCCCCAAGGTGTGGGAGCAGCCCCTGCTGCGGCAGTGGGCACTTCACCCAGCATTATTGGACCAGATGCCGGCCACCTCACGACAGGGCCGGTGTCAGGACTAGCATCAAATTCATCAGTGCTGAATGTAGTATCCATGCAGGCCACAGCAGCACCTAGCACTGGTGGGTCAGTACCTGGCCATGTTTTGGGACAGGGTTCTGTAACATTAACTAGCCCTGGATTGTTGGGAGACCTTGGCTCAATAAGCAATCTCTTGATCAAAGCCAGTCAGCAAAGTCTTGGTCTTCAGGAACAGCACATGACTTTGCCACCAGGTTCTGGGATGTTTTCACAACTGGGGACGTCACAAACTCCAGCTACAGCAGCAATGACCGCTGCATCAAGCATATGTGTATTGCCTTCAGCACAGACTATGGGCATGACAGTTGCTCAATCATCCACTGACCCAGAAGGTCCTTATCAGCTTCAGCATATGACACAACTTTTAGCCATCAAAAATGCTTCTTCCCAGCTGGACCTTGCCACTGCTTCAGCACCTCAGTTGTCAAGCTTTCCACAGCTAGTGGACATTCCTAACAACACAGGCCTCGAGCAAAGCAAGGTTTCCTCGACTGCAATGCATGCCAGTTCAGCTTCGCCTGGAGGCTCCCCGTCATCTGGCCAACAGTCTGCAAGTAGCTCAGTGCTCGGTCCCACAAAAATGAAGCCAAAAATTAAACGAATTCAACCGCCTTTAGACAAAGCGAATGGAAAGAAGCATAAAACTTCTCACATGTGGACCAGTCCCCCTGAAGTACACATTCCAGACAGAGGGGCCAATGCTGTATCCCAGGTCTCAGCTGCAGGGTAAGAGAAACATATGTTTGCTTTTGTGTATCCTTGAGGTTTTGTTACAGTGGTAAAAAATTGGCTCTTGTTGCACTTGTCCCCACATCAGATTTCCTTTTTATCTTCTCATAGAGAATCCTTTAGTAATAAATTTTAGAGTAGCATTCACTGCCATCAATGGACATCTGGACAGGGAAAGTAGATTTCTAAAGAGGTCAACACACAATTTTTGCCTTCATTCATGGTTGACAGCCCTTACAGATTGTTGGTAACCATTTATTTGGGGGAGCAGAGTTGTTTGCAAACATGGTACCTCTAGCTGTGCTATAATTTAGTTGGTGGTTAGCTATCATGTTGATAGATGCTTTGGATCTATCAATACATACTTTTTATCTTAAAATCTGGCAGCATTTGGCCTGATTAGAACTTGGATTGGAACTCTGCAAGGAAAGCATGGTGGTTACAGGAAATGCTGTTGGTCTGAGGAAGTTGCACTCTTCCAAGTCATTACCAAGAGACTGCTCTGGTATGTTCCTAATGGAAGTACTATGCTGCTCGCGATACCAGCTTTTTAGGTAGAACTTAAAACTGAGCCTCTGACCAGTTGTAGTCATTTGAAGATCCCATGGTACTTTTTGCAAGCGGAGAGTTAGTCCTAACATCCTAGCCAAATTTCTAATTGGATTATTACAGTCTGCCTTCCCAAATAACCCTGCTATTTCAAGTGGCAATGGGATTCCGCACACCCTATCTGTTGTGTGCTGTTGCTGTGTGCTGGAAAACAAGTGTCCTGTTTCACTTTTAGAAATGTCTATATTTTAGTGGCTGGTGAAGTGGGATCCCTACATGTAGTTCGTAAATTGTTTTGAATTCATTCTGCCCTATGTTTTGCCCTCTCGTTTTTCTCTTTTTTCTTGAACGCCATGGTACGATTTTAAAATGTCACGGGAGTAGAATACTCAGTTAAATGTTGTTAATAGCATGTTAATGCTGCTGAGATTTAATTATATGGTTAATTGTGTGTAAATGCTTCTAGAGCCTTGGATAGATGTCTTTTTAGTTGTTTAATTATTTAAAGGGTTAAAGCTGTATGCCAGTTAATGTCAGTAATCACACTGCATTTTCATCATGCAACAGAGTTTTCTCTTTCCTTTGGAAAGAGGACTCACAAGTTATAGGGAATGTTTATAGAATTTAAGGCCAGAAGGGATAATTAGATAAATTAGTCAGATCTATATATATTACAGGCCAAAGAATGTCACCGTATTACTCCTGTACTGAGCCCAATAGCTTGTGTTTGCTTTTCATTAAGATGTTTTAGTCAATCAGTCTGCATTTGAAGAGAATTTACCACTTTCCTTGGTAGCTTGTTCCAATGGTTAAATGCCCCCACTTTTTAAATGTTTGTTTTTCTAACTTGAATGTGTCTGGTTTTAACTTCCAGCCAATGGTTCTTGGTCTTCAGGATCAGCACGTGACTTTGCCACCAGGTTCTGGGATGTTTTCACAACTGCCAGTTAACATCAGTTTATAGAGTTTAAACTATTTTAAAGAGCAGTTCAGTATGTGGTATATTCTCTCAGTGAAGTACTTATACACTGTAATCAAGTCAACTCTCAATCTTCTTAGGTCCTTTCCAGTCCTACATTTATATCATTCTTTGATTTGTTTTGATAAGCTAAACAGACTGAACTCAAGTGTCTCACTGTATGGCAATTTCTTTCCAGTCTTTGAATTGAAGTAGCATTTGTCTTGGTGATTTTACTTGAAGTGCAAATCTGTAGGAAGAAGGGAGAATAAGGACTGTGGACCTGGGTGCTGAATGTGACACTTAACATTTTTGTTCAGAAAGTCCTCCAAGTGTCCTCTCTGTGTGACATTGCCAGCAGTCCATATGATAAGGGATTTGACCAAGGGCAACCCAGCAATCCACTGCAGTTCCTGGAGGACAAGGGACCTGCTCAAAAGTACTAGGCAGGTCCCTTGACCTTTTACTCTGGTTAGTTGGGTCATATGATTCAGTTCTACAGTTCCTTGATTTTTTTTAACTCAGTGCTGTAAGTCTGTTTTGAAAAGCAATTGATCCACAATCTTCTAGACATAATTGGACTTCTATTTGTAAATATTCTAGGCTATTTTTTTTTGCCAGCATACCATCCTTTATGGAGTGTCCCCGTGGCTCCATGCTTATGATTATGCAAAAACATCCTTGTAAAGATCCTAGAGTACTCCATTCCTTTGAAGTGCAAGTCTTGAATCTGACCTAAAGCACTAGCAATTTGATCTACTTTCTGTCCTCTGGTTTCACAGTAGCATTTGTTCCTATTTTTGTAGTTTGCTGAAATGCTGAATCACTTATGGCAGTCCCACTAGAGCCATTAATTCTTGGTCGCAGTAAATTTTTATTTGTACAGTCTTTTGAATTATCCCAAATCTTTCTGTTCCAGGACTCCTGCAGTGAAGGCAGACATTCAAGATACAAGTATAGATCAGCTACCACAAAAGCCATCTGGGCAGCCTGCAGGGTAAGTATTAAAACAAACCTTTCCCATCAGGTTTTGCAGGTTTATATTCAGTACCTTATAAACAAAATAAAACTCTGTTCTTCCTTCCTTGTATTTGTTGTTTGTTGTAAATTAAAATACCCCGGTAGCTTTCAGTCTGGAATGTATGTCACTTGTTAGCCACAATATTAAATCCTTGTTTAATCTAGTAGAACAAGATTCATTGTAATAACATAATCAGAGCACATGCCACAGTGATAAATGTCCCAGAAATAAATGTTAATGTATAAGAATGTTTTCATTTTCAGTTGAAACCAGCTGGTTTCAGAATACTTGATTCAGGAGTAAATGCGTGGAAATAGTTGCATACTGTTAAAAATGTATGCCTTATTTCCAGTCTGAATTTGTCTATCTTCAGCTTCCAGACATTAGCTCGTGTTATACCTTTCTCTCCTAGATTGAAGATCCCATTATTAAGTATTTATTCCCCATGTGGATACATATAGACTGTAATCAAGTCACTCCTTAACCTTGCCTTTGAGCTCTTTGAGTCTATCATTATAAGGCATTGTGAAGTTCTGGGGTGCAATCAACTTTTGTCTAGTTAGGGCTGTGTGGTTCATGGTTAATGGATTACATACATTTCACCATGATATTATTGACCAGTGAGTTATTAGTTTTCCAATATAACTTTCAAGGCATATTTTGGACAAAGGTGATTACGGTAATGTGTAGGGTGTGAATACAGAGGTGCTTTCGGTCACAGGCATGCAGTTTGGTTCACTGTTCTCTTGCACAGTCAGTTCTTCCCTTTCTGAAAGGATCCTTATAAACAGCTCCTGGAGAACTGAAAAACTCTTATAAACATATTTGGAAATAGAGTATTATTTAAACTGTGCTCTATTAGAAACTAGAAATTTTTATATTTAATCAATTTAAAAATATTCAAGTTGACATTGTCTCTGTGAAATACAAACAGCCCCGCCTGGTGAGAGGGCTCAGCCATAGAAAAAAACAGGAGTTGCCTTCTGTGGGGTGGTTTCTTGCCAAGCATTCTATTTCATTTCTTTCCCTTTCCCCAAGGCAAATGGCAGTTCTTACAGAGCCACAGTCAGTGCAGAACACAGCAAATGAGCAAGAAAATACAGGTATGTCACTTCTTCCAAAAATGCAGTTTCTTGGCAGTCTTTGGTGTTGAACTATATAGTCACTTTCATGTTGGACGGCTTTAAAGAACTCTTAGTAGGCACTGTATTGTTTTCTGCTAGTTTTGGAGAGAGCTATGTTCCAGTCACAGTCATGTGAATTGCATGTGTGGTTGTAGTTGTAGAAACTTGCAACTTTGATTTTTATGTTCTCATGTTGTGGTGTAATCTGGCTTTCACTTTCCAAATGGATGTAAAATCCATGCTCAGGACCTCAGTTCTTGATCAGGAAATGAGAGCTTCAGAACAGTTCCAGACTTTAGAAAGTCCCGTTCCAGACTTTAGAATGCCCATATACAGAGAACAGAATTAAAATTGTGGTGATAAAGCTGTTGTCCCATTAACTGCAGTTTTCTTTCTGTTCATCATCACCAGAAATTGATATTCCTGTAGTAGCTCCCCTAGAGTATGGTTCATGGAGAGACCTGTCTTTGTTTTCCCATTTTATAATTCCCATTGCCACTGGTGATGGCAGATGGTTCAGTGGGTAGTCCATTATTGTGGAACTTTAACAAGTCACTTAATATCATTAGCAGAATTGTTCTGGCTGAGTCCACATGCGGACATGGATTCTGCTGATTACTATAGTGTGTGCTGTTCTCCATGCAGAGATTCTACAGGTTGTATTAACCTCCAAAGCAACCAGGAGTTGGTTTGCATGAAAAGGGTCTCAAAACTAGGGAGTAACCCAGGCATACGGATAAGGGAGGCAGCTCTTACTAAGAATGATACTTAAGTTTTGGTGGCTTCTTAGAAATAATCATCCATTGTTCAAATCTGGGACAAATTCTTTTCACCATTAGGTATCTGTTTGTTTGGTGGTGGGAGGTACAATAAAGCTTCATTCTGCCCAAGTGTATCTTCATATTGATCTGTCTGTCTTCCAGGATCCAAAGCTCCTGAGGAGGAGGAAGGCACTTTCAGCTCCCCACTTATGTTTTGGCTGCAGCAAGAACAAAAGAGGAAAGAAAGCCTTGGTGAGAAGAAGCCAAAGAAAGGACTAGTTTTCGAGATCTCAAGTGATGATGGTTTTCAGATCTGTGCAGAAAGTATTGAAGGTGAGGACAGTGATTTCTGATTGCAACTTTTTCTGAGCTTTGTTCCCAGAGGTGAAAAACAAAAGATGCTTTTTGAGAAATTGTGCTCTCTGTATCAAGCTTCTTCAGAATAGACTTGTCTTCTCTTAGACATAAAGCTTTGGAACAAAATCCTATGCCAGAGTGCCTGGTTTGTGTTAAATGTCTGCATTGGCCCACTTTGTCTTGAATCCATTGACCAACAATGTTGTTGGTATATAAAGGAGTGGTGGGACAAAGCAAATAATTAACACATACCAGGCATTAGGTAATCTAAATTTTGTTTCAAATGTCATTGCTAAAGCAACTTATTTGCCTGTGCACCAATAAGTTTTTTTAGAGAGGGTGAAAACTGTATAACTACAGGAGAAGTAATGAGTTTATGGCCACTGATTGCATTTCTCTTTATATTTGCCACATGGCTTATTCACACTCTGCCACATGAGTGTTTTGCTAGATATTGATAGGTACTGTGTGCATACGCATACACGCACAGCCTCTGGACTTGGCTGCGTTACTGCAGACCTCGCTGAATGAGAAGACAATCCAGAGACGTACTGAGCTGCTGATCCAGTTACTCCTGATGTCTGATAGATGCAAAGCTTCTTTTATTGTTTTGTCTTCCATTTTCTAATCCCAGATGCCTGGAAATCACTGACTGATAAAGTTCAAGAAGCTCGTTCCAATGCCCGTCTGAAGCAGCTATCGTTTGCAGGTAATACCAAGCACTGAGGTTGTTTCCTCTTTGCCAGCAAGTGTATTTTAAGAGCAGATAAACCAATGTCATGAGGAAATTGTCAAACAAGAGTAGAGTCTTCAGAAGAAAAAGGGCAATTGCTTATAGACAGCTCACTTCTTTAAAGGAGAAACATTTCCAGCAGTAAATATTTTGATGTAAGCAGGGCAAAACTCCTCAAGGTTTGCATAAATAAAAAGCTCCACTATTGTAGCCACAGTAACTTTTATATGAGAATGATCGGGTCAGTGACTTTCTCTCCTATTACCTGATGCGTTACTTTGCGTCAGGGTTTGTGTTTGATCCACTGAGCAAGCTACATTTGCTGTGAAATGTTGGGCTTTTTTGTACAAAGCTTAGGCAATTTTGCTACTTTTTCAAATAAGAAAATTATGCTACTTCTCTTAAGGTATGGTGGCTGGCCACCTGAGCCTATTTGACCTTTTTATTCTGTGTATTAGCTGCACAAATAGCACTAGTTTAGATGCGTCCTGGAGTTCTGCTGTGAAGTTGTTTAACAACATGGTATGATCAGAAATCTCCTCGATTCAGGTCAGACTGCCTACAATGGCATGTAGCCGATCTGCGATGCTAGCAGCAAATACCTCCAACGGCCAGTGATGGGACACTAAAGTGGGAGGGCTATGAGTTACTCCAGAGAATTCTTTCCAGGTGTCTGGCTGGTGGGTCTTGCCCACATGCTCAGGGTCTATATGATCCCCATATTTAGGGTCAGGAAGGAATTTTCCCCTGGGTCAGATTGGCAGAGATCCTGGGGGTGGTTTCACCTTCCTCTGCAGCATGGAGCACTGGTCACTTGCAGGTTTAAACTAGTGTAAGTGTTGGATTTTCTGTAACTTGAAGTCTTTAAACCATGATTTGAGTGCTTCAGTAACTCAGCCAGAAGTTAGAGGTCTATTATAGGAGTGGGTGAGTGAGGGTCTGTGGCCTACAGTGTGCAGGAGGTCAGACTAGATGATCATGATAGTCCCGTCTGACCTTAAAGTCTATGAAGCACTAATGTAACTGCATAGCATACAAGTGGAATGCCCAGAGTTACCCTATAAGCTCCAGTGTAGGTTTTTTATTAGTTAGGCATAGTTTATACGCCTGCTATAGGAGTTAGCATTCTGACCAACTTAATCACTATGTAAAAGCCACTGTCCTAGATGGTTGTAGTTCATCTGCTAGTTGCTGAACTGGGGATATGTCTTGATGCAGAGACTGAAACAAAAGAAATTTTATTTTAAGTTCTCATTAGAAATCAAACAATGTAGCTAATGCAGAGCTCTGGCAGGAGCTTCCACTGGTTTCTGATGGGCTGGTTTATTTTCCAGGCTGCCTGTCTTCACTGACTCGTGGTTTCTTACCCTTTCCTTTTGTCCTTGTTCTAGGTGTGAATGGTTTGAGGATGCTGGGGATTATCCATGATGCTGTTGTGTTCCTGATTGAGCAGCTTTATGGAGCAAAGCATTGCCACAATTACAAATTTAGGTTCCACAAACCAGAGGAGACCAATGAACCCCCATTGAATCCACATGGCTCTGCTAGGGCTGAAGTCCACCTCAGGTAAGTGTGAGCTTTCTGATGGGTGGGACTTGACCAGTCTACTAGCCAGCGTAAGAGACTTTCCCTTGCAAGTGAGAGGGAATAAACTGTAAACTTCTACAAAATTTAAGCTTTAAACTAAAAACAAGATTATAGGTTAATGGTATCTTCCAAATGTAAACTGATGGCCTGTATATTCCTGAGTCTGCATGCAGCTCTAGTACTTCTTCTGTTGCTCTTAGCTTTGCCAAGCAGTAGGAAATTGAAATTAATAAAACTGCCCACTTTACCACTTCCATTCACAATCCTAACGATTGTTTATTTGATGTTGCTGCCTTACACAGCTTTGATCAGCACCTGAGGTGAGCATGAATCACTGAGAAGGAAATGAAAGTTAGGCCAGAGAAGTGATAGAGTAGCAGACACACATAGCCCTTGCAGCAGCCAAGATATTGTTGAAAACTAACTTTGCCAGTAATACACATGTTCTTTGCCCTCCAGGAAGTCAGCATTTGATATGTTCAATTTCCTGGCTTCTAAACACCGACAGCCACCAGAATACAACCCCAATGATGAGGAAGAGGAGGAAGTGCAGCTGAAGTCTGCTCGGTATGCAACTGGATTTATGTCTCCAAAAGGGAAAAGGGGAGGGTACTAAGAAGAAAAGCCAAATATTTTGGTCTTGTCTATTGCACCTGGAGGTGTGGTGTTACAACTTTAAATGTACAAAACACTAGACAATAGATTGTAGAGGACAATCAGGGAGCTGGCTACTGAACATGGCCAGCCCCTCTCTAATCTGTTTTCATGCTACTGCAGGATGTTCTGATCAGCATTCTGGGAAAATAAGGCAAAAAAGTTTACTTTACTTATATTAAATTTGCAGAAGAGGAGAGCTGGTTAGCAGTAAGGAGTTTGTCTGAGATCTGAGGTTGAATTAAGAACAGCTTTATAATATAATATTTATAGAAAAATACACTGTATTAAACTTGGTTGCTTTCTCAGTGGGCATTGGGCTGCAGTGTCACAGTGACTAAATGTTAGTATTTTTGAAACTATACCGACTAATGCTTGGCATGGGCTCTCGAATAAAGGTGATCACTTAGCAGTGTCTCTTTGTTCTAGGAGGGCAACTAGTATGGATCTGCCAATGCCCATGCGATTCCGACACTTGAAGAAGACCTCCAAGGAGGCAGTTGGTGTCTACAGGTATGGTTTTACTCTGGTGCTTTAACTCTGTCTAGGGCAGAAGGTGATTAAAAATTGAAAACTCTTTCTAAAGTCCGACTGGAATGTTGAAGGGAAAGAGTTCTCTCTCTCCCTTCGTCTCTTCCCTTTCTTTGTTTTCAGGTCAAATCTTTAAAAAGCTGATCCTCAGTACAAACCACTTATTCCTGCCAGCTCACCTTGGTGATAGCTCAGGCATTTATTTTTGGGGTGGGAAGGGAAGCTAAAAATGTTTAGGTTACTTGCATATGATAAAAACACAGTGAGGAGAGTCAAACCCTTCGTCCCGTTGATGAAGAGTTAGCCTATGTGCTAAGGTTTTCTGATCTTCAGTTGATACAACATGGTCCAGTTGCATTGGTTGATCTATTCTCTTACCTTGTTTCTTGTTACTAGGTCTCCCATCCATGGCCGGGGCCTATTCTGCAAAAGGAACATTGATGCAGGTGAGATGGTGATTGAATATTCAGGCAATGTTATTCGCTCCATCCTCACTGACAAACGAGAGAAGTACTATGACAGCAAGGTGAGTTCTGTAGCTTTCATCAACATTTGTAAAAGGCACAATTAAACCCATTCACAGCACTTTTCTCTGGTTGGCGAGCTGAAGGGAGCATTCCCAAGAGGAAACTGATAATTGTCTTTCACAGGGGTTATGGAACTGAAACCCTGCCCTAATGTGTGGAGTCCTATAAAATATTAGCACTTACATAGTACTCCTAATCTTCAGTGTACTGTACAAACAGCTGATCCTCACAACCCTCTGTGTGGTAAGGAGTATAGATGGGGAACGAAGGCAGAGGAGCTAAGCTGTTTGCCCCAGTTCAGAGAGGGGATTGGTGTCATAGCCAAGATTAGAACAGAAGATATTCTGGCTGCCATTCCTGTGCTCAAACCACTAGATAATTCGTCTGACAACATAAGTTGTAGAGGCCAAACAAATTTTACAGTCTGATGTGTGTTTGCTTTGGAGAAGGCCTGAATTAAATGCCCATTGTTGGCGGCAACTTCTCCTATACATATCAGCAATTTCTTCTTGAAGACTCTTTTCTGTTTATGTTGACGTAGACATTTGCAGAATAATGTTGAACTGAAAATAATTATGAAAAAGAGAGAAGTTTCACATTTGTGACATCCCAAGTGCTTTCGGACAGAGCCAAAACATGTTTGTGGTGACTTTAAAACTAGTGACTTCCAGTTGCAATGCAATGTTATGACCTCCAGCAGCAGTTTGTAGAGAATGGGCCCCGAGCCTGGCCAGACTTGGTCTGTGGGGATTGCATGGGGCATAAATATGTCTGTGTAGGTGCAAGGGTGAGTTAAAGGGAGTCAAGTAAATGTATCGTGCAAACTTCAATAGGCGTGAAAATTGCACCTGAACTCTGTAGTTTGGGGTTCTAGACTTCCCAGTTTTTCCAGCACTGACTGGCGCTCTAGCAGCACTTCCTTTGCTTCCTCCAAGGGCTTAGGAAATATTTGAGCCCTGCATCAGCACTGCGGATTCAAAGGGTATGAGGATAAAATGGCTCAAGCAAGTACCTTATAACTGAAGAGTGGCTGCAGGATTCTAAGGAGATCATGGTTCCACACCAACTACATTTTGATTTCTCTTGTTTAGTTATGGTAATAAACAATCTCCTGAAACTCCAGGCAGGGGAGAGGGACTCTTGGCTTCCCTGAACTCTAAATGCCTTTCTTTCCTCCATGCCCAGGGGATTGGCTGCTACATGTTCCGCATTGATGACTCTGAAGTGGTAGATGCCACTATGCACGGAAATGCAGCCCGCTTCATCAACCACTCATGTGAGCCCAACTGTTACTCCCGTGTAATCAACATTGATGGCCAGAAACACATCGTCATCTTCGCCATGCGCAAAATCTACCGCGGGGAGGAACTCACGTATGACTACAAATTCCCCATTGAAGACGCCAGCAACAAACTGCCTTGTAACTGTGGCGCCAAGAAGTGCAGGAAATTCTTAAACTAAAACTTTCATGAGCTGTGAGTGAGCCCTGAAGGGCCTGGGGCGAACCAAAGTTACAATGCATTTCCTTCCCGCCATTTGGGGGAGAGAGGGGAGGACAGAGATGGAAATGAAGATTGACGGGGGCTCAGGGACGTAAGTGATGACTGCGCTTCTCCGCCAGAGTCCACATCTTCATGTCTCACATGCGCACACTTATCCTTTGTGAAAGACACGGATGATCAGAGAAGATCCTCAATATGATTGTTATACTTTTTCCACTCCCCCCCCCTCCAGTATTTGTCATTGTGGGATAGTGAGCGGGAGAGGGGAAGGGTGGATGGATGAGGCAAAACAGACCAAAACCCATATATGGGTAGAGGCCTCAGATTTTGTCCTTTGTTGTTTCTGGTTTGTCAGGACTCTGTGACCAGCTTTGCCAGGAACGGCAATGTGGGGTTTTCAGTTTCCTTCGCTTGCTGTGTCATAATTTAAAAAAGCGCAGTACTTGACTGAGCTTTTCCTCAGGAGAGAGACTGTATCCCATCAACCAGCTCCATGAAGGATGTTCTGAGTGTCTGGTTCCTGCCACCATGCATTTCCAAAACACTATTTGTGAGCAGGCTGGGTCTTATCAGACTTCTTAGAGCAGCCATAGGTGGCCCCAGTGCATTTCTCTTGGTTGGTCTGTCCTTTATTGGGGCCTGGGAAGAGTAAATAAGGCTAGGGTAACCTACAGCAGCCTGTAAGTGAACTGAAAAGGGTTTCAGTAGCATTTTCCTCTGAAATTCCTGTTTTTGTATAAGAGAGTTCCTAGCTATTTTAGTAAAGGAAGGGGCTGTGTTGGGTTTATGCCAACTGATTACAGTGATTCACTCTTCAGGATTTACAGCCCAAAGTGGAAATCCTTGTCAGCAAAGGCCTTGTTTCAGTAATTAAGTCCTTTGTAGAGTAGGAACAACTCTTCTCCCATGTTTCTGCCATCAGAAATGGGCACTCTTCTTTGGTCTAGGGAGAGATCTGCCTCCCTACCTCTGACCTGTCCAAGCAATGGAAATCCACGCGCAGAGTAGCAGGACCTGCAGCTGTCAGAAATGGAGAGCAGCTCTATTAGCCAGCCCGCACTCCCAAACAGAAAGTAGCAAAGGCGATTTGCAGAGATTGCAGCTGGAGAAGCTCTGCTCACATGGTTTAAATAATGTAGTAGGATAAATGAATCAGGCAAATGAGTGATTTCTCTAAGCACATCCCTCTCTCTAGATCCATTTCTAGGTTACGGTTACGTCAATCTTCCTTGTAAGACATAGGAATAGGCACCAAAAGGGGGTTTTAAAAGCTCAGTAGACATGCAAGGCCAAACACTAACAGTCTGAGCATACTCCTTGTAGCATTTAAAAATGTGTTTAGGAAACCAGTTTGCAACTGCCACAATTAAACCCACCTGAGTGAAATAGTAAATCCATTTAAAAAGCAAAACAGAATGACACTAGTCCTGGTTCAAGCGGGAAAACTTCCCCCCCTTTTGGATCCAAAAAAAAAAAAAAGCCCCAACCCTGTTAAATTAAGTGATTGGATTTTACTCTGTTCTGTTTACAGTGTAGTATTTAAGGTTTTATAAATGTAAATATATTTTGTATATTTTTCTATGAGAAGCACTTCATAGGGAAAAGCACTTATGACAAGGCTATTTTTAAACAGTGGTATTATCCTAATTTAAAATAATCTGTTTTTAATAATTTTTTATTTTCATAGGATGGTTATAGGAAATATCTGGCTGGACATAGTCTGATCCTTCCTCCAGAGAGAGGGATACTTTTATTTTTATTTTACTTTTAATCTTGTTCTGCCTTGTTGACTTAAGTAACTGTTTCCTGGAAGCTTTGGCTGGACCTTAATTATATTGATTTGTCAAGGGAGAGGGCATGGGGAACAATCACCCAACTCAGGAGGAGTTTGACTCAGTGGAACTTTATTTGAACGTCTGTGTTAACTTTTTTGGTACAGTTTTCCTACCGCTGGGCAGAAAGAGGCATGATTCTGCCTTGACACATGCCACTGTTCTGTTTATAGAAAGGTGAAGGAGAGGGGGTAATAATCGCTATCTTTACTTTTCCATTAGTTTGGTCAGAGCTCAGAATTAGGAATATGGCAGGAAATACGAATTTTTCCACCTTGCTCTTTCCATTTAAATCTTGCAGAGCAGACATGTCCTCCTCAGTAATTCACTGATCCTGCCAGGATACTTACTGAGCGTGAGTGGTCCCTGCATCTCTGGAGAGATCACTTTAACTTAAGCCCAGGACTGTGATTGGTAGCAGGGAAAGCCAACTTCCCATCACTCACTACTGTGTTTCTAAAGCAGCTTCACTGGATAAAGAGCCAGAGTGGGTTTTCATTCTCGGAAAATTCTCAACTCTTCAACCAGAGAAACTTGGTCCTGTGGAAATTGAGCAAAGCAATAGAACCACAGCCCTGCCTTTGTTCACCATCATTGTTAGGAACAGGTGTGGGATTTGCACCCACCAATGCACTTCTCAGCCCTGAGTGCCTCTCACTTGGAAACATATGAATTTTTCCTTTGAACAGTAAAATGATAATGTACTCCTCTCTCATCTGTCCCTGTGGACAGGCCATCTACAATTTGCTGAATTAGCAAATTGAAAGGCTGCTATGAAACAGCATCAGCAGCCGCCTATGGAAATTGGACAGCATTGACTAATAACTCCTTAGCGCTCACAGTCCAGCACTATGTAACTGTGCCATTCAACCCCAGAGACCTCTTCCTCTGACCGGAGAATGAAATGCAGCACTCAGAAGGGTCAGGAATTGCTGGTTCCTTTTTTTATTGCACTGTGTGATTATTATTTTGTAAAACTTTTTTTAAAGGAAAAATCAAAGGCAAAGCTGCACGTGTTACTGAAATGATTTGATGCACTGACAGTTTGGGAATGCACACACACTGAGAGGCCAGAAAGCATGTCTGGGGAAATCTCAGCTCAGCATCCCTAGACACAACTCTTCGCGGCAGTGCTGGGGGACAGTTCCAGTGCTGGACACACCAGTGAATTTTAACTTCAGAATGGTCTAGTTCAATCATTTTCCCCCTTCTCCCTCCTGCTGATATCCCTTAATCTGGCAGAGAATCAGCCTCTGCAGCTGACAACAATCCCATTCTTGTCTCTTGCCAAAAATCTGTGTAGCTATCAGCTATTTGATAAGCAAAATTGAGTCCTCACCAGAAATCCACACTAAGAGCAAGGTCTGATCAGGAAACACTGCTCCCACAAACCCCCTTAGGAAAAAACACAAGAAGAGGGGGAAAAATAAGTGAAGGAGAAAACAGAAGAGAGATACCACCTGAGTCCCTCTGAGAACCAGGCACTAGAAATTTCCTCTACCGTGAGGACTGAGAGCGCAAATGGATCAGGCTAGAATTTGGTAGAAGATCCAGCTCACTGAATGCTTTGCTGCTATACCTGTTGTGGCTGCCTTAACTAGCAGCCACTGTGGCCAGTGAAACTGTCTGTAAACCAGAGAAGCTGAATTGTGCTGACTTACAGGCTGGGCCAGGGGTCCCCTTGGCTCCCCACTTCCATTGTTCTCACCAGTCTATCTCCAGCACAGAGGTTTTCAGTCACTTACAGTTTTAAACAAATAAAAGGAAGGTGGGGAGAAGCCTTGGCAGCTAGTATTTAAGTTTTCAATGATTCATCTGTAAGACACAGGCCTATGTGCCCTTTAACCCTGTCCTGCCCAGGCTAATAGTGAGCACAATGCAGCTTCCTCGTATATGAATGTATATTTTATAAGGACTGACATAGATCATGATATCTGAAAATACTAAAAGTCAAACCTTAAGGCATTTATTTTTATTTGTACAAACCAATTTTTTTAAAGGAAAAGCGGGTCATTGCAAAGGGCTGGGTATAATCTTTTTATTTCATTTTCTTTCATTTCCAAGCAATACCAGGTTCTTCAGCAAGATGGTCTTTGTGCAGAATCATGCCATTCAAACCCATACTACTGGTCCATACTCAACACACTTGCGAGTTTTTTTATAACTATAAATATGATATATATAGGAACTAATATAGTAATGCACCGTGTAATGAAGCCTAGTTCAGTATCGGTCCATGGCTTTTAATTCTCTTAACACTATAGATAAGGATTGTGTTACAGTTGCTAACAAAGGCAGGAAAAATAATCAAGCTGTGTACTTCTGGGTTAACAAATGTAAACTGAGGGGGGCTTGCTTGGCACTAGTGCAGAACACCTCAGTGTGAAGAGTGACAGCATTCACATTCAGGAACTTGCTGCAGAAATGAAATACTTAGCCCGTAGTTTCCCTGCTTGAGGATTTTTCTGACCTTCAATGTTACCAGTCAGTACTTGTACAACTTGTTTTTTTGTTTTTTGGAATTTTTTTTTTTTTTTTTTGGTTATGAATGTTGGGGTACCACCTGCATATAGGGAAAAATGTGTTCTGTGCTTTCCTGGTATCTTTTTAACAAGGTACTGTAGCTTTGTCTATCAACCAAGAACTATACTTGTGGTGTTTCTTTTATTAAACTTAACAGTCTCTTTAGTAAATACAGATAGGTGAATAATTGTTCAAAAAAAAAAAAAAGCTTTTCAAAAGAAAAGGTTTATTTTTAAAAAAAAACAAATTTTAAAAAAAATAAAAAAAAAAAAAAAATTTTTTAATTAATTTTTTAATTGTTTTATTCAAAAATTAAGATAAAAAAAAAAAAAAAAAAAAAAAAAAGGAAATGTCTAAAGTACATCAGTGTTAACTCCCTGTCACAGGGACGAAGGAAATACTTTAATAGTTAAAAAACAATGCTGAAAGCTCTGCGAAAGACTGAATGTAAAAATAAAAAAGTGTATATAGTTGTAAAAAACAAAAAGGAGTTTTTAAACATGTTTATTTTCTATGCACTTTTTTTTATTTAAGTGATAGTTTAATTAATAAACATGTCAAGTTTATTGCTGCAGAGGGTGACTCTTGATTTACTTTATTTTTAAAAAGCTGGAGAGGAGGAGGTGTTCCAGTGCCACCATCGCTCAGTCTCATCATATGAATCACCCTTTCTTCAGAAAAGGCACATGGGTATCATGTGGCTTCATTATTACTATTTGTGTTGTAGTGCCATAGATGTGACTGGTGCACTGTGAAAGAAATGAGTCCCTGCCTCAAAAGGGGATGGTTCTTGACAGGTAACCTTGAAACATAAGGGCATGCAGTGATGCCATGAAAGAAAAGTTAGAAGGTACAGACGGGAGAGAACTGTGCTTGGGAGGTTTGAGAATGGGTGGTGTGGGATTCGAGCTCCCTTTACCTTTGCCAGGAGCTGAAGAGGAGTCTCCTGCAGTAGCGTGGCTGACGTTGTATGAAGGGATACAAGCGGCTCGGACAAAAGGTATGTAGAGAGGGAAGAAGCTAAAAACAAGGCAATTTTGAATTGGCTTCTGAAAGCTCTGGGATATTGAGCAGAGTTGCTTACGGAGATGATGGTGCAGGCAGCAGTACTAATGGAGAGTGAGCTATTGAAGGGTAAGGAAGGAGGCCTCGTCCCTCCCAAGTCCTTGATCCCTCATGGTCACAGAACAAGTGAAACACCATTTGTAAAAATCACCCAGGTGTTAAGTAGACCCTGTGCCAAGAGTGTGTGTGTACTTTGTGACTTGTGTGTGGGATTTTACTGTGGCATTGGGCATCCATGTTCTAAGCTCTTCAGGAAACAGAAACATTCACATATATTCAGCATCTCCCTATCATCTTGGCCTGTGATACAGAATTAGTTCAAAGCATTATGAAACTCAACTGAATGGAAGGAAAGTTAGCTATATTAGTGTAGTCAATGTTTATATGCTGCTAGAGCCCAAAGGCCTCAGTTGGGGTTGGGGCCGCATTGCAGGGCACTGTACAAACCGCCAGCCAGCCAACAGCCACAGATACACTGAGGGAATGCGGATCCAATGAACCTGGGGAGGAATTGGCCCTGCTGGCTTAGTTTCATGGATGGTGGATAGCTGGTTTCAGTTGAGGGCAAAGAAAAGAAGGGGAAGAACAGGCCCCGCTTGTCACCTTTCCAGCGATGCCCTTTGCTGTGGTGCCTGGAGAACCATCCAGCGGGGCATCCTGAGGCGGACAAGACACTGACAGTGGGGATTTTATCAGGGGTTTTCCTCAGGCATGAAGCCAGCATAGAGGTGTCTGAGGGAGAAACTGCCTTGTGGGCAGTGAAGACTGGGAACACTGGCAAAGCGAACACAAGTTGACATCACCTTAGGTAAGTAGGTCACCAAGTGGAGTGAAGCAACATTATGAACTGCCTGGAAGGTAAAGACAAGTATCTTTTATTTGATATACAGGTGAAGGAGGAACTGGCAGAGGGACTCAGGGCCTGACGTCAGAATCCCGAGAATAACATCTTGGCAGAAGCATGGTGAAGACACAAGGGGAGTAAGGGTGCAGGAGTCCAAGTCAGAGGAGAAGAGGGTTCTGTAGCCAAGACATTCAGGGATCCGGGCTTGGACAACAATTTTGGCTGTGTATGCAGGGGGGAAAGTCCGATGCCAGAGGAGACGTGAAAGAAAACTGTGAAGATTTAGCAATGACCTGAATGTGCATCCAGTTTATTTCCATGTCTGTGCAATAGAAACTGGTAGTGCTTTGGGTGGGGCTAGAACCCCTTTCCCTGCCCTCTCCCCCACACATCCTGTTACTGACCTCAACGCCTGCAATGGTTTTAGTGAGTTCAGCTCACATTTGACATTTTGAATGTCTGGACCCTGCAATTCCACTGCTGTCCTTGCCTGCAGTTAACAGCCAGCAGGCCCTCTGGAGGCTTGATCTGCCTCTAGCATCCTGTCCCTGGCCAAAGGGCCATGTGAACATTAACTTCCCCTGCTGCTCTGCAGCGCGGTGCCCCCATCTCCTCCCCCACTCCTATTGGCTGCTTTTAGGCCAGTCCCCAATTGTGTCTCCAGACCTCATTCCTGGCTTGCTAGAGGTGCCTTTTCCTGCCTCTCACTGTGCTGTTAAACATGGCTACAGCCAAGGACAGAGCGGTTCTGCAAACAATCTTTAACCCCAATACCCCTTTTGGGGATATCCCTGGGTTAGATGAGGAAGAGGAGGCAGCAGCAATCCAAGGGGAAGGTGAGGTTTGATTCAGCAGCAGTTGTACCTCTGGGGCCTCAGATTCTTGCTGGTAACTAAATGTCTGTGCAGTGGCTGTGATTTACCTTTCCAGTGGCGGACTTTGCCATTGAGGAGGTGTGTGCTGGCACTGGTTAATGAAGGGAAGAACTGTCTTCATTGTGAACAATGGCACTGCTGTAATCCAAGAGAAGTCAGTGGAGTTACACCAGGGAAGAACTAGTTGCAGGGATGTTGTGGAATGATCCAGTCTTCCCCTGGCAGTGACTGGTGGGGGCTTGGAAGCCAGGGCAGAGCTCACTAAGAGCTGGAAGGAGAGCATGCTGATCTCTAGAAAGACATGCCAGTTGGACTAACTGGACCCTAATGGGACTAGGGCCCTCACTAGTTAGCACCTGGAAGCTCTTCTCAGCCCTGGAGGGGGAAATCTCTACAATGCAGACAAAGTGATGCAAGAGAGCTGCCTGCTTGCCTCTTGTCATGCTGCCTGTCTGTCACTTAGATGAGAAGAGAACAGCAGGTCCCTGCATCTATGACTCCTTACCAGATAATGGTGCAACTGGGAGTTGGGGGAGGGCCCACAGAGCAGGGCCACAATTACAGAAGGTGGGGTAGCAGATACCTGCCTGATCACCTAAGCCTGCCTTCTACATTCGGCCAGTGCAGGCATCTCGGGGCCACGTCGCCTTCCCCCAAACTCACAAAATTGTTACAAATAACCAAGGAGTCAGGCCTGGATCAGGTGCTGAGTGGATCCCATTGGACCCACCCCTGGGTCAGGCAGTCCTGTGGAAAGGGATCACACAGGAGACAGGAAAGTTCCTCTTCTAATTCACTGGGGAACAGCTTGAACACTTTGGCCTTGGGGCCAGGACCCAGGCACTTTGCAGTGAGGTTCCTGGTCTCTCTTTGGGGCAGCAGGTTTAGGTGAATCTGAATGTGTGTGGGGAAATTAAACTGCATGTTGGATTTAAATGCAGCCTGCTGCCCAGTCTGCATGCCTGCCTGAGTAAAGGTGCCCAATGGGGATCTGCTGTCACAGCAACCCATGACATGCCTGGGCACCTCTCTCAACCCTTGGTGGATCAGGAAAGCAGAGCCCAAGACCAGCTCAGAGCCCCCATATTAACCCCTGCTCCAGTGGGCTCTCCTGTCCCATGCCTGGTGGTGGTGAGACTCTCCCCTCACTGTGCCCTGGTCTGGTACAGGGGATCGCCCCCCCCCCACGCCAAGCGCAAAGCACTGCATAAATGAGGCTTTTCCTTTATGCATGTCACAGATGGAGCTTTCGCCTCAGAGCTGCTGGAGCAAGTCAAAGACCTGGAGCTGCAGGGGGTTTTGGCAGCTGAATCGGGAGATGTGAACACGGCCCTTGAGAGATTCAGCCAGGCCATTCGGCTCCTTCCGGAGCGAGCCTCGTGCTACAACAACCGTGCCCAGGCCCTTCGTCTCAAAGGGGATGTGGCAGGTAAATGAGGAGGGGAGTTGTGCCCATCACGCCTGGGTTGGCAGTTACGTTGGGGAGGGCAGCAAACCGATGGTCTGACTGGTTCTGGGGTTACTGGGCCAGGCGTGGGGTCTGATGGGCAGCAATGCAGTCACAGCACAACGTATGTGAATTGCACACAATAGAGAAGGAGCTTCTAAGCTCAGCACTGGGGGCCAGGAACTCCTAGGTTCAATCCTGACTTGTGACCCAATGTTTCATGTGATGTTCCTGTGACCCAGGACTTCCTTCTGTGGGTCCTGAAATGCCCATTTTTTAGGTCCTATTGTTCGTTCCAGTGTGTAGTAGCACTGGGTAGAATTTGCTCTGTATTTACCAGGAACACACTTTCAGAGTGATGAACGGGGTTTGGAGTGGAGTAAGATGAGTAGAGACACTACTGGAGATGCGCTGGGGCTCACAGTCAATGTTCATGATTCTTGGTCCGTGTTCCATAATAGATAAATTCAGAAGAAGTTCTCTCTCCCCTCTGAGTACCTGCCCATGTTGTGGATGGGTCAGGAGCTGGTGCACAGCATAGAAAATAGCAACAGAAGGTCCTGTGGCACCTTTAAGACTAACACGGCTACCCCTCTGAGCATAGAAAATAGGCACTTTTTTATCTATTGAATGAACATTTCATGACCCTAAAACAAGTCCTCACGAAAGGACCCTGTTTTTTTATTTTGAAAATGTTGTTACAGCATCTCAGCTCTGAGACACACTCCGCGGATGGCTTTGGTCACTGCCCTGTGCCCCATCTGTACGAGAGGGATAATACTTCACTCTTCCAACAGAAGGCAATGGAAAGTACCTAGTGCTGTGCATACTGATCATGGATCTGAACCCCCAGGAGCCTACAGCTGAGTCCCAGCACATTACACTGACCAAGGGCAGGCAGAGTTCACCCTTCTTCCATTCTGTCTTCTGTCTCCACACAGGTGCCCTGCAGGACCTGGACACAGCCCTGCACCTCAGCAAGGGCACAGGCCGTGCGGCATGCCAGTGCTTTGTGCAGCGAGGTCTCATCAAGGTGCTGCAGGGGCACGAGGATGATGCCAGGCAGGATTTTGAGCAGGGAGCCAGACTGGGTAGCGCCTTCGCTCGGCACCAGCTGGTCCTGATGAACCCCTATTCAGCGCTCTGCAACCAGATGCTGTTGGAGATGATGAGGAAGCTGCAGAACCCAGACATCCACGGAAGCAACTAGAGCCATCTGTCCAGGCAAGGGGTCAGGAGAGGGTTGCCAATGAATCATTCTGCTGGGCCAGGCAGACAGGATGCCCTCCACCTACCCCACATAGAATCCTGAGCTGGGGCAAGGGGAGCCTAGATCAGGGGTTCTCAACCATTTTCTTTGAGCCCCCCTTCTCCTCCCCAATAAAAACTCCACGGTCCAACTGTGCCACCACAACTTTTTCTGCATATAAAAGCCGGGGCTGGCGTTAGCAGGAAGCAAACAGGGAAATTGTCCGGGGCCCTGTGCCACAGGGGGCCCTGCAAAGCTAAGTTGCTCAGGCTTCGGCTTCAGCCGCAGGTGGTGGGGCTCAGGACCCTGGGCTGCAGTCCTGTGCGGCAGGGCTTTGGTTTTCTGCCCTGGGCCCTAGAAATTCTAATGCCAGCCATGCTTGGTGGACCTCCTCAAACCTGCTTGCAGCCCCCGGTTGAGAACCACTGGTCTAGATTGGTGTATCCTGAGCAATGGCCAGATGTTTGTGGGGAAGTTTGTCTTTTGCAGAGCCTGAGGCATCTCAATCCTGGCAGCCTCCGCTGGCCTGGCACAGAGCATGATCTGCAGTGTCTTTGTCACAGGCTGGTTCCCAGATGAGGCCTCCAGGCAGGTGAGCCACCTGGCAGGGACTCCCCAGGAGATGGGCCACTGTGTACAAACCAGCACAAGCCACTTCCTCCCCAGAAGCATTTGTCGTTTCTAGTAAAGCATTAGAACCTCATGAGTGGATCGGCTGGATCAGAATCACACCATATTCTGGACCGGCCTCCCCTGCGGCCGTTTCTCTCACTTGCTTGCTCCAGAGAAGAGCTGACCCTGCTTCAGCTTGGGCATTGTTCTTCCCTATCACAAATAAACTCTCTAGTTTGACTGGTGCTTGGCTCCAGTTGTCTGGGTGTAATTAATGTTCTTTTCACTTTTAAATGTAAGTAGTAATGAAAGAGTGCGATGAAAAAACCCACCCCCTTCCTGTGGCCCTAGCAAATGTAGCCATTGGGTTCTTCGGTTCCCCAGGTCCTTGTTCACATGTCACTCAGCTGGGGCTGGAACTCCACTGGCCTAGGCTCAGTAACAGTAGCCCACTGGACTGGGTCTTTGGAAACAGGATTCGATTCCCTGCTCTGGCCCGGATTCACTGTGGGATCACGGGCCAGTCACTCAGTCTTTCTGCCTTGGTTCCTTCATTGGTTTGGCTTGTCTTTTTAAACGGTTGGCGTTTTGAGGCAGGGACTTTCTCCATGTGCACATTCAGCACTTAACACAATGGGGCCTTGATCGTGACCGGGGCCTCTCTCTGCTCCTATGAGATGGTGGTTCGTGTACTGATTGCGTTCCTAATGCCGGCAGTGGCTTAAGTACACCCTGTCCTTTCATTTGCTTGCACTCCCTCTCCGGGCTCAGCATGATGCTGTTGTGTTTCGGTCTCTAGGACTGACCCCCAGGGCCTGTCTAGCTCCAAACATTTCCCACTTGAAATCATGGCAAACACCCCTCTTGACACTGGGGTTTTTAACCCTCTTTTCATTTTGGTTCCAGAATGTAAGGTCTGGTTCTAAGCTAGGTCAGAATCGGGTACGGGGTAGAGCCTGGCCCTGCTCCATCCTCGCCGCCAGCATTGTCCTAGGGTCGCTCAACGGGCATTTTACATAGTAGCTGTGTGCGGTAAATCACAGTAGCACCAGTTAATCCGACCTAAGCGTCCACACGAGCCAGCGGCCCCTGGTGACCGGATCCGGTTCGGATTGGTGCTCAGGCCGAGCCTTTGGCTCCGCCCTCCAGCCAATGGGGTTCGCAGCCAGGCTGCAGCGCCGGCCCCAAGCGAGGCTGGGACTGCAGCGGGCGGGCGCGGAGCCAGGGCCGGGCCGCTCCGCGAGCTCCGGGCAGCTGCCGCCGGGCCGGGCCGCGCGCTCTGCACCGCCCTGCCGGGATGGGCGGGACGCGGCCCGCGGCCCCTGCAGCGCCCCCAGGTAACCGCCCGCCGCGTGCTCGGGGCTCGCTCGCAGCAGAGCTGGGGGGCCCCCGGCGGGGGGCATCGGCTGCAGCCCGCGCGCCACCCCGGCGCCTCTGCGCCAGGTGTCCCGTGTGCGTGTGTGAGCCCGGCCCATGTGCCCCTGTGTGCGTGTGTGAGCCCTGCCCGTGTGCCCCTGTGTGCGTGTGTGTGAGCCCGGCCCATGTGCCCCTTGTGCGAGCCCTGCTCTGCCCGTGTGCCCCCTGTGTGC